GCGTCGTGCATGGTCTGGCCGAGCTGGCCCCAGAGCAAGCTCGACGACTCAATGTCCGTGTTGACAAAGACGGGGTACGCGACCGGGGACAGCGCGTGCTTGGGGCTCGGCGACAAGTGGAGTTGTGCCGTGCGCACTTCGTCGGCGGGCAAGAGGCACGCGTAGCAGCACTGTTGGCTCCCAACCATGACGATTGCAAAGACGAGGCCCGACGCAAAGTACAAAATTGTCGCGATACCGAGGAGCACAGACGGCAACTCAGCATCGAGTTGCGAGCAGAGAAGCGAGAGCCACGTCATACCAATGTACGGAAGGGACATGCCGCAGTAGACCATACTACAAGAGGAGGCGTGAGGGACCAGCTTACAAAAGAGCATCGTGGTACAGGATGCGCTTGAGACGCATATAGAGCGGCGACGCTGTGAGTTCGCCATCGACGCTTTCAAAGTTGCGACCGCGCCGGCGCAACAACCACATCCTACAGAGAGACTCTGGTCAAGTATTCCAATCAAAAAGAAAGACAAGGAGGCCACGTACGCCGAAACGACGAGCAGGATGACGCCCGACTGGATGGAAATGGCGGTAATGAGCACGGATTTGAACCGCCCCGAGTAGAAGCTCACAGTCATCGAGTTGGGCGTCGCGCCTTCCGTGCGTCCCGTCGAGAGCACGAACGAGAGCTAGTGCAACAGAGCGCGTTGTAGCGTCATCACGACGATACCGCACGTACCGCAAAGTAGATCAGCACAAGGACCATGATGGCGGCGCCATAGAACTTGATCGTGCGGGCTTCGCGGATCGAGCCGCGGTCCATGGCCTTACGCGCCAAGCGCACGAGCTCGAGCACGAGCACGAGCATCCAGAGCGCGCCCGCAATAAGCGCTGCGTCGCCAATGAGGAGGAACCACATGACGACGTTGGGCGGTGCATCCAGAGTCAAATCGATGGAGCTGTCGGTGAGCGGGCTAAAGGCGCTCACGTCGCGGTGGCTATCGAGCTCCATCCACGTCGAGTTGGCCTGGAAGAACTGGTCGACGACGGCCGCGAGGACGACAGCGCGCGTGAGCGAGTAGATTGTGCGCGAGATAAAGTACGCGTACATGGCGTAGAAGACGCAAGTACGGATGCGCTGCTTCATGCGGAACATGGTGTACACGGCCATGGACGTCGCGATGAACGAGATGAAGAGCACGAGCACGTAGATGAGACTCCATATTGGCAGCATCTTCGTCTATTCCTGAATGCTCCAACAGGTTGATGCTCGTGGTGGCCTCCTGCAAGGCCATTGGCTAAAATGTCGAATTATTGAGCCATACACAATGCGACATGTGACGGACGTGTCGCAACGTCGCAAGACGTTGAAGCGTTGGAGCTTGCAAGGGTCGCGCACACGTCATTCTCTCGACCTCATCCCGGCGGCAGTCGAAGGGTGTAGTCGGCTCCATGAGGCCAATCAATGGCCGTCGACTTGGAGTCTCTTGTGCGCCGCAAACGTCACCAGGTAGTATTATCAATGCAGTCTCGACATGGAGTCGGCCTGAAAAGCCAGTGGCATGACCACCCGAGAGGCGGTGCCACACGCAAGACTTCTGTTATTAGTTTACGGCTTCCGTGCGCTGTTTTCACCGTTTCTCCGCTCGTTCGTGCAGTCACCGGCAGGTACATATTTGAGCATATTTGCGTTTCAGTTTCAGTCGTCCGCGGGTTCCAGGACATGGAGCACGTGATGTGGCTACTACCGTACTAGTACTCGTGGCGGCTACTCCACGCGTAATATCAATCTCGCCGCTTGTAGCTGCCGCTTGTCTATGCTGGGATGCTGTAGAGGCACAGTGGGAGGTCATGTCGTGTGGAGGAAGCAGTGTACTGTATCTGATGCGCACGCGATGGGTTGTCGCGCGTACGATCGAGTGAGTCTGGATGCGACGCCAGCTTTGACGACAGTGGCGTTGCGATGCTCGACAAAATGAGGGCAAATGAAAATAAATAAACGCGCTTGCACGAATGGACTAGACAAAGATGGCGACTTCACGCGGCGAGCGCACGAGGCCATAGCGCATGCTCTCGGACGGCTCGTACGACATGCGGCTTTGCACGTTGGCAATCGATCCAAAGTGTGCGCTTCGGTCCCGCAGCGCCGCGGGCACGACTTCCGCGATCCCGAGGTCGATCTTGAGGTCCGTGATGCGGTAAACGCCTACATGTCGTTATGGGTTGCTGCTCAGCGCAATCAAACGCGTCCTACCCATGTCTTGGACAGCAAACGGGTGGTTCTGTGCCCAGCGCGAGTTCTTGCTGGCCTCGGTTTCGAGCCACTTGGCGATTGGCGCCGTCACGACAATCTGACCGCCATGGCCCACATCGCTGACTTCGCGCCCAATGAGCTCCGAGAGACCGACGTACGTCGTCCGGTGCGTCACCGGGTGCACTTGGTGAAAGAGCTGGCCCTCGGCCTCGGACGCTGCATGGATGCCCATACGCACGCGGATGCCGTGGAATAAATACTGGTGCTTGGGCTTCGTCAGCGGTACGTGCTTGGTGCGGATCGAGACGGTGAGGCTGCCGGGGAGACCCGAGTCGACAAATTCGACGGGCCACGGTTGGTTCATGAGCTCCAACTGGACGTCCAAGCAGTAGGCGACGGCATCTGGGATGCAGTGGAACGCGAGCTGGAACGCGTCGCCGCACGTCGTAATCTCGTACCCGTTGTGCTTCACGAGGAGCGATCGTAGGAGGTTGTCATGGAGCTCTTGGGCGTCGTGCATGGTCTGGCCGAGCTGGCCCCAGAGCAAGCTCGACGACTCAATGTCCGTGTTGACAAAGACCGGGTGCTCCATTGGCGCGTCCATGTTTTGGGACGCTTGTGTGATGGTGAGACGCGTCTCGTCGGACGGGCCGAGGCAGGTATTAAAGCACTCTTGACTGCCAACGAGCACGAGGGCAAAGACACAGCCGGATACGTTGAAGAGTACGATGGACGAGCCCATGAGCCAGCGCGGCATAAAGTCACCCGGCGCGTCGCTTGCGAGCATGAACCAGCCCACAATGAGGTACGGCAACGACGTGGTGATGTACACCGTTCTACAGGGCATTTGCATTAGACCATGCTAAGGGTCCACGAGATATGTACAAGATGCGCTTGAGGCGCAGGTAGAGCGGTGACTGGATCACTTGCCCGTCGACGGACTCAAACTTGCGGCTGTGCGACCGAAGGTAGTAGACCCTACTTCATTGTGAGTATTCAAACAGAGAGAGAGACTAGACACATATACCCCGCCGTGACGGTGGCAATGACGAGCGCTTGGAGGACGTTGGCGGTAATAAGAACCGCGACGTACCGGCCCGTCCAAAAGCCGGGTCCATCGATCGCAAACGAGAGCTAGTTTTTAACATCAGTCGCGTCTCGCCGATGAAGACGCGTACAATGGTGTAGATGCCAACGACGACGACGTTGGCAATCGTGTAGCGCTTGAACGTCCACTTCTCCTGGAACGAGCCGCGGTCGAGGGATTTTTTCTATGCAGTTAGCGTCCATGAGCGACATCGCTCGCGACACAGGCAGCGTACCGCAAGCTTGATGAGCTCGAGCACGAGCACGAGCATCCAGAGCGCACCCGAGACGGTTGCCGCGTCGCCAAAGAAGACCATGACAATGACTTCGGTCGGCGGATCCTCTTTCCCGTTGGGCTCTTCGTCGTGGCGCAGGAGACGGAAGCCGCCGGCGTCATGGTACGAGTCCAGATACAGCCAGGCGGACATTTCGCCGCCGACAAATTGGTCGATAAAGATGATGGAGACGACGCTCCATGCGACCGCGTGCACGATGCGCGAGACGAGGTAGGCAAAGGTCGCGCGGAAGACGCACGACTGCATGTACTTCATCGAGTGGTGCATGGACCACAGCGCCATGGCCAAGCAGGCGAAGGACAGGAGCAGCGCAAGGAGGCCCAGGATCGTCCATACTGGCAGCATCTCGGTCGTGTGCTGGTGGGCCAGCCAACGTTACACTGAGCCCCCATAGAAAGGTCGGTGCCAAACGTCGCAATCAGTTGGCCGTGCCATCTGGGCATAGCCATCCATCATTCTTCCTGCACTCAATTTTGTATCGCCGATTGCCTTTACACACCGACTGTTCCTGCACTCAATTTTGTATCGCCGATTGCCTTTACACACCGACTGTACACTTGACGGCATGTAATGCGAAGAGTGTACTTGGTACTGTAGTCGTGTACTGTACGGGACTCCTGAATAAGCGACTGGAAAGCAGCCGCTACCGCACGCACTCATATTGGGGCTTTTACCAAACCACAGCGAAGATGCAGCGGCGTTTGCTCCGCGCCAGCTTGTGTTTCGCATCTACTGATACACTTGGTGCACTCACATGGGTAACTACTGGTACGAGTTTGTTTGTCGCTGAGGATGTGGCCATTGATGTGGCGTGATGTTGGGAGAGTCTTCATTGCGAGTCTCCGTCGTCGAAGCTACTTCTTTGCTGCGACGAAAGTGATGTTAGTCGTGTACCGGGGAAGCTCGAGGACGCGTTGGTGCTACTAATCAACCCTTTCTGTTAACGGCGCTTGCACGCGCATTTTTCGCGGCCACTGGACGCTTGCTGTTACGTCGATCATCTGAGCCCGTGTAATGTCAGCGAGGACACCCGCATCGAATTGCGGGGACCGCAATGCGTGATCCGTGTCGCAAACGTCAATTTCACCGCCTTTGTCTCTCTTCGGTCCTTCGATGCGATTCCTTTTCCGTCTCGTCTTCGGAATGACGAAAGGATGCAGCTTGCATTCGATGGCCTGGCTTTGGACGATGGCCAACCGAGACGCTGCGATCGTGCAAGCGCAAGCGATGACACGCCCGGCTGGTCGCACCAGATCGTCCTGATCGCGCGCCCACCGGCTGCGATAACGCGAGCCGTGGTACCAGAACCTTTACATGAATTCGTTTCCCAGCTCTTCTCTGCATAACCACGGAGGGACTCGCGTATAGGGTGGGCGTGAAAAAGTCACTTCATCGTTGTTAACTTGAAGCGATACGATCAACTCGGTCGAAATGGTAACTGCTGTAGTAAGGTGAAGGCTGCTGTACAATTAACTACTTAGCAGCTTTACCCAGTCGACGCCATCTTTGCCGCCTCGCGTTTGTTTACACCACCGAAGCGTTGTGTGTCGTGGCGCGAAAACTGAAACGCAAACATTGCGTGCGATTAGACTTCCCATAGTATCCGGATGATATCCGGTACAAAGATCTCGAGAAACCGACCGGCGTCGAGCAGCAAGACGAAGCATGGGCGGCCTGGTGTACTGGACGACGCTAGCAATCGTCGCGGCCATCGCGCTCCGATGGGTACCATCTGCATGGAGGACGAGGGTCATGGAAGAGGGTCGCCTCATGGATCCTTCCTCCTAGGGTCTCGAAGCTGGGATCAACCTCGTGCTCCGTCGATCGTCCCGTAGGCGCGCCGGCCTCGCCGACTCATGCAACCCCGACTTAGGTCTATGGACCAACCTCAAGCTCGACGAGGAGACCATCCTAAACGTTCACGTGCACCCCGTGCGCATCCGGCTGTGGAGCCTCCTATGGGCGTTTGCGAAGGCGCCAAGCCAAGCCATGCTCATGCGCCTCGTCGTCTCGGCAGTCTCGGTCCAGATCGTTCGCACGCGCGAGAAAGCTCCTCAGCAGGTCCATGTCCGTGTTCTGCCGCCGGATGCGTCGCTGGCCTCATTTGCTAGCCTCCATGACCCGACCCATACGCTATGGGCAGTGGTGCTGCCGCTCGTGCAGCGTTTTGGCGTCGTCGCTCGCATCGTGCATTTACTCGGCGTTACCATCGCCAACATGTCGCTCTCGTTGCAGGAGAATGGCCAAGATATTGTCCAGATACAGGTAGTAGGTCGGTTGCGCCGATGACGGTAAGTCACACACATCGTAGCGCGCGAGTGTGAACGTCCAGCTTCGCTTGAACGTGACGAGCCACGACCTTCTGCTCTGCGCCACTATCGCGCAAGACCAATCCATGGAGGTTGTCGTCCGCGGCGCTCGCATTCAGATGCAAGAGGTGCAGCTCAAGATCGCAGTGCCATTATCGCGTGATCGTCACGACCTTCGGGTGCCGCTACCCCACGAGGTCACAATCTCGGGCCGTGATCTGCATGTGTCCATCACAGACATTGCACTGCTCGCTCCGTCCTCCAAGCCTTCCACGCGTGCGGCAACTCCGTCGGCCGCAGCGCTTTCCGAAGACGACTGGCGTCGACTCTTGACATACGACTGGCTCGCGCTTCTTCCCAAGATCACGACGTTTGCATGGTCGTCCATACGTCTCGAGGTGCACCATAAGTCGGACAACGTGCTTGATGTGACCGTGGCGCGACTGGTCGCAGCCAGCAACCACCATCGCCAGACGACGCGAGGGCCGTTCATGGGACGAACGTGGGCGATTGAACTCGGGCCCGTGAGCGCAACGTTGAGCTCGTCGCCACTTCTTTCTATTGCGCCGGCAGCCGTTTGGCTTGAAATCCACCCGCGCGCGGGCGGAACAATTGACTTGAAGCTCTCGGGGGAAGTCAAGCGCGTGCACGTGACACTAACCGACCAACTCGAGCCGTGGGTCGCCCTCGCCGCCTCATGCGCACCGCCCACGTCAGCACAAGCGTCTTTGCCCATGTACAGTCCGTGGACACTCGATGTCCAGATCAAGCTCGTGCAAACGAAGCTTACGACCGTTCCGCGAACAGCAGTACCCCTCAGCGATCCTTCCTACGGAGCACCATCTCTAGACGTGCGTCTCGACGACTTTCATGTGTCTGTGTTTCCGACGACAATGGTCGGTGTGCGGTCGCTGGTGGAGCTCCGTCTTTGCCGTATGAGCATGTGGACAGCAAACGAGAAGCACATTCTTTCAGTTGACACGACACGGCTCTTTCTCGGGCCACTGGACTCTATTTTGCACGGCCAGACCAAGCCCGCCGACGTCGAGATGGAGGCCGAGTGGATCCAACTCACGTACTCGCCCGCCGCGTTGCAAGCTGTCGGCGGCGCCTTCCATCTTGGCCTCTTTGTGGCCCAGGCGCCGTTACGAAAGGTGTTTGCTCGCGCAAAGTCCATGAGTCCGTCCCTCGTGCCAGACATGCGGCCGCTTCAGGATGTCTGCAGCGACGACACGCGCTTGTATGCGCACGTCAACTTTCGCGGAGCCATCAAACGCATTGTTGCCATCTTCCCCACAACATGCGCGGGCCAAACGACGATGGAGCACGTGAGCATCGACCACATGAGCATTGAAACCGAAGCCGATAGCGCGCGTTACCGGCTGCACTTTCGGCACATCAAAGCCCTGTCGTCCCCGTCCATCACGCCGTACTTGAGCGTCGCCGACTTTGCAATCGAAGAGACGCCGGTCCGGGACACGTCGATCGTTGATCTCTATGGGCGCCGCGTGGTCGTGCATTGGGACCTCGCGCTGCAGCTGCGGCTGCTTGTGCTCGTTCAAGACGTCACACTCGCGTCCTACAACATGCTCTTTCAGCTCTTTCACACGTACACGACGTTCATTGCGCCACGTCATTCCAAATTCAAGCTTGGTGTGAACGCTCCCATGGACGACGTGGCAGCATACGAAGCGGCACATGCAAAGCTCGCTTCCTTAACGAGTGCATCCGGTGACAAGTTGCATCGACTCCACATCGCTACGATCGCTGTGACGATGGCGCCATACGACCTGGAGCTGCGTCTCGACACCTTCGGCGGCGCCGACCTCCCGGATCTCTGGTCGTTCGCCAACATCACAGTGCAGTGGCAAAACGAACTGCTGCTCTCGGTCAAGTCCGTTTCGGTCCGACGGACACTCGACCGCCGACCCAATTACATTTTTGGCGAATTTGAAGCCATGCTTCGGCAGCGACAGCGCATTGTCGCCCCAGCGGCAGAGCGCATCGCGGTCGAAGGTCTTTTGATCGGCCTCAGTGGTCTCGAGATCCGGCTTGTGTACCGTTTCTTTGTACCGCTTTCAAAGCTCGTGTCCACGTTCCAGCTCCATGCGGCAGGGCTCGTCACCGCGCTTCAGCAAGAGCTCGCCGTCTATTGGCGTCCGCAGTCGGCTCTGGCGTATACGTACTTTGCCAAGATCGCTGAGCCCACGTCGCCAGTGATTTGGCTCGATATCCACGACGTCGCTGTCGTGGGCTTGGACCACCCCATGGAAGTTTGGCTTGCCCAAATGTACCCGATCTGGATGGATGACCTCGCCGAGCAAGAGGTGCGCCGCCAGATCGTTGAAGAGCAGTGGCACAGCCTCAAGCTCACGAACGCTGACATGCTTGCCTTGGAGACCTACCAGGATATGACCAAGGTACGGCTCGAGAAGAACGCGACGCTGTACATCCAGCGCGTGAAGCAGCGCCCGTCGATCGTACCGCGGCCCCGGTTACGCTTGCACGTGCAGAGTATTGTCGGCTCCATCACTATCGCCTCCGACGACGACCCGAGCTCGATTCGTCGACTGAAGGAGCTCGACGAAGCCTCCGACGCCGTCCATCGGGCACTTCGGGGACCACCCCATGAGACCACTTGCTTTCGCCCGTCGTTTGACTTTTTGATCGCCATGGTGCTGGACATGAGCGTCGACGCCATCGTGGTCGAGCTCCGAGATCATACACCGCTCTTGGTGCACCAGGTAACTGTTCGAGGCGACGTGATTCTCGCGCAACCCACGAGCACGAAAGTCATGCAGGAAGCGCACACTGTCTCTATCGGTCCCCACTTATTGCTTCCAGTCGAGACGTCGACAAGCCCGCTAAAGCTCTTTCTCGACCTCGACGTTGTCTTGCGCGGTACCACCGTGTCGTACACGCCGCGAATGAACGCAATCTTTGCCGAGGTGTTTCAGGACATGCTGCGCGCCTTGTCGCTTGTCGTACCGAGTGCTGCGTACTGGGATGCGATTCGCGGGTTTCTGCACGGCAAGTGCCACGTACACCTCGACGAGACAACGGTCCGACTGTTTGGTGCCAACCAAGAGCACTTGCTGCTGAGTCTCCACGCAATCGATATCGCGTACAAACACCAAGACGTGGTCTTACAAGTGGCAAAGCTGCGCTGCCGCATCGAGCCGATCGGGTTTGGCAACGTCATCGATGTTCACCGCATCCACTGCCACATCCAACTCGACTGGGGCTGCAACAGCATCGTGCACTACGTGACGCCCCTCGAATTCACGTACTTGGACATCCAGCGCCAAGTGCAACGGTTCGTTTTGGAGCCGCTTCCCAGCGCGTTTACATCAGCGGGCCTGCATGTGCACGTGACGGTGCAAGTGACGACAAACGACCGAAACGAAATGCCGTCGGTACTGCTGTACGGCAAGACAGTCGAGTGGCTGCTCCACTTTGCCCAGCAGTATGCGCGCGCATTTAGCAGCCCTTGCTTTACACGTCGACCGCATGTCGTGCCCGTGGTTTCTCTGCGTGCAATTCTCGGCCATCTCCAGACGTGCACGATCGAGGCAGTCGAAATCGCAGGCCTCGACGTGGCGCTCTACTACAGCGACCAGAGCCCCGAGGGGTGCCGCTGGAGCCTACGCAACCTCTTCTTCTCGCTTGGCGCGACGCGGGGCCTTGTCAAGACCCTTGCCGAGTCGCTCAACGACCACACGGTGTCGGTCCTCGATGTTGCATTCCACGATGTAGTGTTTGGTGTCGCCGAAGTGCATTGGCGAGTGTGCACGCTCGCAACCGGGTCGCGCGGCGAGTCATTGTGGACCTCGGCGAGCTGCATGTTGAAATGGAAAAGACGCGCAACGCGTCCATCGCGCCGCTGGCTGACGCCCGCCGGGCTCGAATGGCATCACGTTTGCACGCGGCCCCAACAGCAGCGGCCATGGCGCCAACGACGACGTCGTCTCGGGCTCAAAAGTCCATTATGGAGATCTTTGATATCAAGGGCGACGAACACTTACTCAAGCATCGACCGGACGACCCCATGGCGTTCGAAGCTGAGGTGTCGACGGTCGTGCCAGAGGCGGCGCCGACACCCCGCGTCGTCTTCGGACGCGGGTGTCTTCTCAGCGTTTTGCTGGACGCACCCAGGGTCCTTGTGACGCTCGATACGCTCGAAACCCTCTTTAATATTGGCAGCGCGTGGATGCAGTTCTCACAAGAGCATGTGCCCGAGCTCTTTCGCGTCTCGATCGACGCGGTGCGCGCGTACGAAGCAACAACGTCGCAAGCAGGTGTGTGTACATGCGAGGTTTGAGATGGTCGAATGTGCTTCCTAGTGACACCCGTCGTCGTGCCCAAGAAAGATGAGCCTTCGTTGTTGGAGCTGCTCGAAAGTACGCAAGACGCTGCGTGCGATACCTCTTGACGTTCGTCCTAGGCAAAAAACGCGGAGTGCGTGTGAGCTCGACCAGCGATACGCGGTCGGCGGACTCGACGCCGGCGTGTTCCAAGGACGAGGACCGTTCTCGAACGTTGTTTCGCATTGAGCTCGTGGATCTGCAAGTGTTTGTTCAAGACACGCTGCACAAGGTAGCCCGACTCGGGTCATTTTCTGCCAATACGCCAATATATGTTTAGGGCGGTGTCCTCTTTGCCATTCCGTCGGCGACGATCAGTCACGCCGTCGACTTGGACGCGAACACTGAGCACGTGGATATTCTCATGCACGGCGTGCTCCTCTACACGTCGTCGCTCGACGTGGATGTCATGCACCGGCAATGGCTCAAGCGGAAGGCGCCCGACGGCTACTGCAACAGCTCGACAGCACTCTTGCGCAAGGTTGTGCACGCGACCGAGTCCCAGCACTGCGCTATTGCCGTCACACACACGCTGCCCACCGTGCATCAGATCCACGTCACGATTCCGTGCGTCGACGCGACATTGGATCTCGAGAGCAAGCAAATTTTGCTCGACCTTGCGGTTGCCTTTACCCACGCAGTACAAGAAAAGGTAGTAGTCCTCGTTCCCCATCGCTCTTTGTATGGATGCATACATATATCCTACTGTAGATGGCCAAGGCGAAACATGACGTTTTGGTGCAGGCCATGCTTCAGCACTTGACGCCTGACAGCGCGTATGCGACACTCTCACTGCCAGTAAGGATGCTTGTCGGGACTGATGGTACAACCTATGGCTACAGGAACTTTGGCACAAACAACGCGACACGCAATGGCAGATCCAACAGCTCAAGTGGCAACAAGCGTGTCGGTTCGGCTACAGCCTCGCCACGCAAGATCGTTTCCACGAAGCCGATCGCTCGACATCGGCGACGACCGACGGGGCTCGGCGTCGACGGCTCTCGGCCCACAGCTCGTCCGTCTCAAGCGACCTCGCTCGGAACGACGACGGGCTCAATCGGGCGTTGGATGCGCTGCAAGCCACGCTGGACCGACTCTTGACGGCCGTCGCGGCGAGTTACCAAGTGTACCGCAAGTCGCTCCAAGTGCGCCCGACGATCGAGCTATCGTTTCATCTCGCCCGTGCGACGCTTTTGCTGCGCAGTCCTAGCGTCTCGCTCCTTCAGGTCGTGCACACGGGCCTTGTGTTGAGTTTTTCGCAGTTTGAAGACCAGTCGGGCACCCTCTCGTGCACGATTGCAGGGCTCTCGGCCGCCAACTTGCTGCCGCAAACGCCCTACCCCGAGCTCCTCGGACGCGCCGCAACGACGAGCACTGACCACTTGCTAGACACCGACACGATCGTCCGCATTGATGCGGAGATGGCAACGCCCATCGGCGGCATCACGGTGCTCCAGCACTTTGAAGTCAACGTGCAGCCGCTCCAAGTGTGCTTGACGTACGACCTCATCGTGCAGCTCGCAGCGTTTTTCGGTGGCGACCGCGGGCGTCGTGACGACGCCGAAGCCGAGATTCGCCATCAATTCTTACCGCCGTCTATCATGCGGCCTTTCCAGAAGCCTCGCAAGTCGATGGCAGAGACCGTCAAAACCGAGTGGGTTGACGACCAAGAGCGCGAGGTGGCCGAGATGACGGATCGCGCGACCAAGAACATGACGTTCAAGCACATTCGACTGGGCACGATCCAGATCTTGCTGAGTTACAAGAGTATGATGCTCTACTTTCTGCGAGAACGAATCTGCGACTTCGCGTAGGTGGCAAGTCGGTGACGCAGCCCCAGCAGCACCTCGAGGACATGCGCGGCTTTGACCTCAAGATCCATGCGCTTGTCTACACGGACAAGACGTGTACGCTCGACGACCTCTTCCTGCGCATTCGGCGCGACATCATCCTCGACATCCTCTCGCAAGTCGGGCGCAACTTCAACAACATTGGTCTTCTACTCAAGGAGAAGCTGGACCTTTCGCGCTGGGCGGGCCTCGAGTTCCCCATGAAGAGCCTCTCGCAGTCCATGACGGGTACGACGACCGCGACGACGTCACCGGACCGAACCTTCCAGCTCGAGCTGCCGACGGACGCCAGCAGCGGCTCCCCAAAGAAGATGAAGCCGCGCTTTAGCTTCTTGAAGCCAAAAAAGGCAAAGCCTGCCAAGGAAGAAGCCGTTTCCATGGCATCGCCGCCGACAAGTCCGTCCACGTAGCAAACAGGCAGCTGGATTAGGTTAAAGATGATGATGATGATGGAATGAAAAGCGTGGGTTACAAGCCGCCGGCCGCCGTCTTGTTGCGGCTTTCGGTCCATGCCTTGGCGATTGTACGCTTCATTTCTTCGTCGCCTTCGTCGTACATGTTCTTCATCATGTCCATGATACCGGCCGAGGGGTCCGACGGGTTGGCCTTGGCCGCGCTGGCCGCCCCCGGGTTCTTGGCCGTGAGGTTTGCCCACGTGTTCTTCTCGTCGGCCTTCCACAGCGTGATCGTAACGCGGTTCTTCTTGAAGAGAAACTTGGATTTTTCGGGTCGATCTCCTTGTCGAGATGGTAGCGCACAAGGCGGTAGTTCTTGCCACGGAGCTGCTTGATCTTGAGGTCAAAACTGTGCTTGGTAAAGTCGCACGTGACCTGCGACGCCGGGAGCTCGCCGACGCCATCAATGCCCGATGTGATGTACACCATGACCTTGGGCTTGCCGTAGCCTTCGTCTTCCCAGCCAAAGGTCGACACTTCCGTGTACACCTCCGTGTCGGCAACGCGGGGAGGCGCATAGACCGTCGGTGTCGGTGCCGGGGTTGCAACCGGGACTTGTGCTTGCGTCTAGGCCACGTCATGAGGATACACGCATGGACATATAGAGGATCGTCTACCTTGGCCAAGGCCATCTCCTTGGCGCGGAGGAGCGCGGTCAGGTCCGTGGCCAGGCGCGGGGACTTGACGGTTGCTAGGAGGCTCTGCAGCTCCTGGATGTCGTCCATGATGTCGTTCGTGAGCATGGCAAATGCGGAAATGAGCATCGGCGGCGTGAACCGCTTCGAATTTCGAGAAAAAGTCCACTGCGGTTGTGATTGGTCGATATCTTTAATTATGAAATAGTGTTGTCCAAGATACCCAATACAAAACACGAGATAGCATGGATACTTTGAGTACACCAAATCAGGTATTAAGTCACACTATATGACGGTAGTGAGCTGCCCAGATCAGATCAACTCGTCGACCACTTGTGCCACAAACAGCAAAAACATATCATGGAAAACGACTTGATAAACAATGAAAGCGACCACGTGTGGCTGGCCTAGTCGGCATGGGGCTTCTTCGCCGCTGCGACCGTGTGCTTGTCAAAGTGCTTGATTTGCAAGTAGCCGTACACGTACATGAGCGGCACGAGGGTCCACCGAAGAGCGGGGATGGTCGGGAAGAAGAGAGTCATGACGTACCGCGTCAGCCACGCGCCAACGGGTGCGGTCTGAAGGATCAAAATCACGCCGTTGTCGGGGCCCCGGGCAAACTTGGCCAGCGCGGCGCCGACCGTGACGGCAATGTACAGCGTCACGGCGTCGCGGACCATGGGCGGCATCCAATGCGACGGCAGTAGCATGTTGGCAGCGTAAAAGACGTACGCGGACCAGAGGCAAAAAATACCTACCGACTGGAGGTAGGCGAAAAGCAAGCCCATGGCGGCGCTAAAGACGAATTGAAGCTCATGCGCATGTGGCATCGTCAAGAGCGCTGGTGGGCAAAGCACGAAGGCCATGCTACTGATCGCAGCAAAGATGATGGCGCGGGGCAGCTTGTAGCCACGGATACCGACAGCAAGACTCGTGAGCGCCAAGGCGGCAATGGCACCCAGCTGGTGCTGCTCTGCGTGGCGGGGCGAGGCCACCGCCGCATCGACGCAGTACGCGTGGACCGCCTGCGTATGGTTGAGCAGCGCGTTCATAATGTCGTGGAGCGCGACGAGGCCGTCGTCGGACGAAAAGAGTGGCGTCGGCATGTGCTACGGCCACGGTGCAACGGGAAATGGTCTCGGAGACCAAGCCAGAGTCCGTGCGAGGCGGCGTCGACTTGACAGGCCCGGTCGTCGCTTCTTTTTGACCGTTGGGAGAAAGTGCATTGTCGATTAACTAATCCAAAATCCACATCGACCAATCACCGTCACCCGCCGATGACGTGGCACGCGCACGATGACGCAATCGTTGGACCGAGATGACACAAAAACACCTTCGCGGGACACGAACGGTCGTGGTAGACGACGACGTCTGCGTGAACATGAGAAGCCCAACGGACGATGCCACAGGAGGCGCGTCATGCAATGAGCTCACTGTTCGTGCTTGATCACAAGAATTGGCCTGCGAGGCACAAGAGAAGCTGCATTTGAAAGTGGGTTATACACGTCGTATCGTGGCCTAGTCGGTCTTGGCCTTGTGGGCATCCATCGCCGACGCCATCGTGTCAATGGACTTGAACTGGCGCGACCACGACGAGTTGTACAAGAACGGGCGCAAATCGAACCGGTTGTCGTCCGGCGAGTAGTTTTCCGCGTGGTACGATGGTGTCAGCGTCGTCATCTTGTGGCGGTTGATGCCGTAGTAGAAGAAGAAGCGCTTGACCTTGGTCGCGATCTCGGTCGGCGTCAATTGCGTCCAGACATGCGAGAGCTTCCGGAACATCCAGAGCGGACCACACCGATCGATCTTGCGGAGACGGCCAAACCAGCCGAGCTCCTCGTACGTCATGCCCATGTCTTCTTCGTCGACCTGCGAATGCTCTTCGTCGGCGCCGGACGCCATCGGGCGAAGCTCGGCGGTCGGCGGCGCGGCGACGACAGTCGCCAGCGTCGGGTAGTTGTACTTTTTGGCCGCGTACACCAAGAGCCGCTTGAGATCGGTCTTGGAGACAGCACCAATCGGGTTGAGATCCGCGCTCGAGCAGTCGTACTTGGTCATGTACCCACGGAGGGCCTCGTCGACGTTGGCCGAGCCGAGCACGAGGAGGAAGCCCGTCTTGGACCGGACCCACGGCAGGAGCTGCGCGAGGAGATAGGCCATGACCATGCGCAAGCGAGCTTGGATGTTCTGGAGCGCAAGGTCCTCCGACGCGGTGCCCCCATGGACGCCAAAGCGCGGCGTCTTGCCCACGAGGAGTGCAAACGTCGAGACGACGGCCGACACCATCGCATCGATCTTGACGGTCAAGTGGTAGTTGCCGATCTCGGCCGCGAGCGTCTTGGCGCGCGTCTCGGTCGCCAGTGAGCTGTTCTCGGTGCCCATGTACGTCGTGTGGAGAACATGGCTCGCGAGCTCTTGCGGCGTCAGCGGCGCGTACGCTGCATTCGCGTCCTTCCCGAGAAGGTACAAAATGTCCTTTTGGACTTGGACGTCTCCGGCATTGCCGGCTGCGGTCGCGAGGTGGCACATGACACCGACGATGCACGCGACGGACGCCGAGTCGGCGCCGCCGGAGAGCGGGAGGAAGAAGCCCTTGGCCTTGCTGCGGCGGAGGTAGTCCCACATCCAGCACGCCGGGCCGAGCGCAATTTCTTCCTCGGGCGCGTGGAACTTGAAGTCGACGCGCGGCGACGGCGCCAAAAACGCGGTGGTCGACGTCGGCGGGCAGACGCGGAAGTTGACGTTGACGTGCGGGAGCGCGCGCTCCGAGGGCGAGCTTGCCTGCTCACTACGGGAGCTGCACGCGCCGCGGTACGAGCGCACGTCGTCGAGGTCGACAACGGCCGTGACGACTTCGACGTCCGTGACCGAGAACTGCGATCCCTGCGCGACGATATGGCCGTTGACGACAATGAGCGCGCAGCCGTCGTAGTAGAGGCGACCGCCGTCGCAGCCTTGCTGATTCGCATACAAGTAGACACCGCCCGCTACATCGTCATTTTGAGCATGCAACATCGGAGAGGCTGTCGATACCTTTGGCCGTCGCACCGCGAATCAAGTCGATGCGGTGGTGGAGCTTGCGCAGCTCGTGGTGCGAGCCCGACCCGTTGCCGATGATCTCGACGCCGCCAAGTGACAGCGAAATGTGGGGCGCGTCCGGCGTGAAGAGCTCTTCGCACGTCTCCGATGAGATGAGCTAGCATGTATATGAGTCGTGGAGACGGCAGAGGCGAGACGCATACCGAGTCGCGCGTCGCAATGGCGCCAATGCCAAAGGGCACTTCGACCTGCGACGTGAGTTCCTGGATCGAAAGCGGCAGCATGTGCGACTGCAAGTTGAGCGCGGCGTCGGCGTGAATCTTCCACGTCGTGAACCTACACCACTGCACTGAGCTCGAGTACAATATGTGAAGAAGACGCTACCAGCGCGTCTCGCGGTAGTTGCCATCGTCGGCGTGGAAGAGCTTGGGGCAATAAAGAGGATCTTGCGGTCCAGGCAGAAGACGCGGCAGTTGTAGCGCACGCCGCCATGCATGACGGGCATGCCGATATCGCACAAGATGCCGTCCGTCACGTCCGACGAGAGCAGCGTCGCCATGCTTTCCCAGCAATGGAAGAACGTGTCGGCCTCGAGGAAGTGATCTTCACAGCCGTAACCGCAGATCTCGAGCTCCGGCCCGAGGCGGTACGTGGCCCCGCGCGCCTTGGCAATGCGGATCGAGCTCATGATGCGCTCGAGGTTGCCATCAAAGTCCAGCGCCCACTGGTTGAGGTTGCACGTGGCCACGGTCAGGAGCGGCGCGTTCATGTTCATCATCTTGTCGGCTAAACCAGAAGTGACTGCCTTCGCGCAGAGGCGGCTCCTGCGCGATGATTGGCCATCGCGAGGACCCTAGGATTTGCAGCCAATCACAGCACCGATTGGATTGCATTCCAGCACTGAAAAGCTGCGGGGTCGATCCTCCGCCGTCGTTCGCCGCAACTTCGTGTGGTGGGCACTTGCTCATGGGACGACGGACGCAACCGATACAATTGATATAGGACGAGCGGGCTGAGTACGTCGTCGTCGTACGAGTAGCTGCCGTGCCTCCGCGACCAGTCGCCTCCCTTGGACTGCGCTGGGTGCGACCCGAAAACGCGCTGCGATTGGTCAATGTGGCGTGGGATATCACCACTAACCTTTTTGCGTGGGTTGAAAGGTCGAACCGACGCGTTTAAACGGATAAAACGTATGGGTAAATACTGTCGTCGTCGGGTTTTAATAGCGACGGGGGTAAGAGCGATGGAAGTTGCGCCAACGTGGTTGGTGTCGACGCAGCAACGTAGAATCAATTGCTTTCCCGCAACTTGTAGAGCACTCTAGCGTGCGATGCCAGGTTCCTATTGACCGCACAACAAGTCTTCTTCTGTTCTAATAGTCCTTGCGGAGGTTTCGGATCTCGTTCAACGGCTACCTACTGAATCCAAGGTCGGCTAACGTGTCAAGATCTAGTTTCGCAAGAAAGACGCGGTCGGATAGGTCTACAAGATTCTGAAAGCAGCTCTGTTGGGGGCTTGGCTCTGGAAGGAACTACATGTACAGCTACGCAACTCTCTGTCGAAAGCAGAGACTAATTGCACAGGGTGACAGCAGCAGCGACTCGCAACACAGTATCGTTAGTTAGTAATATAGAGCACCGATCGATGCCATCGCGCCAACACCTCTCAGGACGCGGCGCTCGTTCTATACAGGCGCTGGGCATGCGACGGCGGGCTCGTTGACGACATGTGCGCGGGAAACATGCGGTCATACATGTGCTGGAGGATCGCGCTGACATGGACGGCGGTCGGGCGCTCCTCGGGCACATACGAGAGGCACTGCTCGGCGAGCTCGACGAGCCACTCGGGCGACGTCTCGTAGAACGTCGGGCGGATCGTGCCGTCGCGCAGCCGGTCGAGCAGCGCGAAGTCTGAGACCGGTTCGGTCGACGGGCCGTCGAGACTCTCGCGCAAATGCGCGTCCCAGAACGGCACTTGGTGCGTCGCAAACTCCGAGAGCATGATACCAAACGAGTACATGTCGGCGGCGACCGTGTACCGCTTGCCGCGCAGCACCTCGGGCGCCGTCCAGCGGTACGTGCCGATGCCCTGTGTCATCGTCGCCTCGATCGCCTCGCGCGAGACGCCAAAGTCGATGAGCTTTCCGCGCGCGTGCTGCGTAAGGAGCACGTTTCGGCTCTTGAGGTCGCGGTGGATGATCGCGTTCGAGTGCAAGTAGATGAGGCCGTTCACAACGTCGAGCGCACACAGAATCTTTTGGTCCCACGGGAAGAGCGACGCCGGGTCGGCCTCCGTGTTGGTCAAGTGGTCACGCAGGTCGCCGTACGACATGTACTCGAGCACGAGCGTCATGTCACGCGGCCGGGTCCACGCTACGCCAATGAAGCGCACAATGTACGGACTGTCCATGCGCGCCATGAGCTTGATCTCGTCAATGAACGACTGGACAGCGTCCCGCGCGCGGTCCGGATGCAAAAGCCGCTTCATCGCGACCGGCTCGCCCTTGTAGTCGCCCAGCGACACGATGCCATGCGCGCCCGTGGCCAGCACGCGCACCTCGCGGAGCCGTGAGCTGTCGAGCCGGTGCAACGCAAGGTCGCCAAGGTGCAACTCGGCGTCGGCGGCGCTGTCGTGGGCATAGTAGGCGGCCGCGGGCTCTGCGAGGAAGGACCGCTTGCCCGACTGCGACCGGAGCACAATGTGATCCCCGGGGTTGTTGACGTCTTCGGTGGGCGTGCGCACGGCATAGCGAGCAGCGCGCTTCTTCTTGTAGAGCATAAAGACGATGATGCCAATGGCCGCCGCCGCAACGAGGCTCACGACGAGGATGATGGTTTGGTTGGACGTCCACGAGCTGCCTACAGTCGACACAAAAGCACGTGAGCGAAACGTCCAAGCGCGCAGCGAGATACGTAGGCGGCGCACCCGACGGAATGTTGAGGCAGTACTCTTCGTAGAACGCATGGCCGATCGTGTTGTTGTTGAGGAGCTGCACCGTGCTGCACGGAAACGGCGTCGCGTCGAACGAGACGAGGATGCCATTGCAGTCGCGCTCCGAGTTGGTCTGCGTGCAGTCGTAGTTGTACATGGAGGCGCACTCGCGCGTCCCCTCCGACGTGTTGCGGGCGATCGTAAACACCGTGTTGTTCATAAGGCCGACGCATCGCCAGCCGTCCACGATCGTGTAGCTCGTTTTCGCCACAGTCGGCACCGGCGCCTGCGTGTTCTGCTGCTGCTTCTGCGTATTCTGCGGCGCCTGCGTGTTCTGCGGCGCCTGCGTGTTTTGGGGCGCTTGGGTCGGCGGCTTGGTCGTCGGCGTCGGCGTTGGCGCCAGCGTCGTCGGCGTCGGGTCCGTCGTCACGTTGTCTGCACCCAGGACCCCTAGCAGCGCGAGGCCCAGCAGCAGCAGCGATCGTCCTGTCCTCATGGCGGCGCGGGGACGTCCGACTTCTCTGTTTCTACTCTCGGCGTACGACGCCGGGACCGAATTACGAACCGGCCTTACTTACAACAATCCAGTTTGTCCCATCGCCCTCTCATTGGTCAAAAGCTTGCCTTTTTCTGATTGGTCGAAATGATTTCGCTGCGGACGGACCATCTTGCACGCCACAGTTCCCTGTCTTGACGCTGCGCCGAGCACGGGTTCTTACCCAGGAGATCAGTCGGCAATCCAATCCAAGGCTTCACGATTCATCCGATGATTTCTCAACCACGCAATACCACTTGTCCCTGCACAGCTCTATTGTACTGCCATCCTCGGGCTAGTACTGGCGCGTCAATTTTTAAAGGCCTGTCGCCGCCGAGCTCGCAATCAAACGACAACGAGGGCGGTCGTGGGTGCTTGGTGCCCAATGACCAAAGCTACTCTGTACACTCTGCTTGTTTTATATACTAATACTAGCTGGCACTCGTCTGCCTTTCTAGCGAAGGATTAGGATTCGCCGCGTGCTGAAGATGACCATGTATGGAGATCACGGATAGAGAGAGCAACGCCTTTCTTCGTTTATCGAAGATTTCGCAGTGTCCCAGCGACGCCTCGGCAGGTTCAATCTCTAGCGTGTGGCGAGCTTGATCGCGTTCGACAGCTTGCTCCACGATCCTCGCTCCTCGTCCTAGTACACTGATCGCGCGTGTTAGTGATTCGCACCTGCTTGCGCCGGAGACCAATATGCTGCGGAACTCGCCGACTCTCTCCGCGCAATGCAATTATGGCCAATCACAGCGCACTCGAGTGCAAAACAGAACAGCGCACCGAACCGCATACAAACACCAAGTGTAGCGCCAGACGCGGCGCGAGATACAAAGTGCAAGTTATTGGGCGAGATACGCTTTTCCGCGCTCTGCATTTCGGATTCGGACCATGAACGACGACGAGCGCAGCATGGACGCCACCGATGCGTGGCGCGCGCAGCAGGAGCAAGCGCGCCTCGCCGAAGAAGCCGCCTACGAGCGACAGCTCGAGGCCGTCATGGCCATCTCGCTCGCAGAGCAGACGCAGCGCGAGCGCATTGAGCGACAGGCGTCGATCGACGACGTGCAGCGCCGCGAGCATGAGGACAAGGCGCTCGACGAGTTCAAGAAGAAAGTCGACGAGAAGCGGCGCCTACGCGAAGAAGCCCAGGCGCGTCACGAGCAAAAGGTCATGGACGCGGTGCTCAAAGCGTCGCTGGTCGAGTTCAACGAGCGCAGCCGCATCGAGCACATGACGGACGACGAAGAGCGCCTTCGGAGTGCGTCGCTCGAGGCGAAGCAACAGGACATCGAGCGCGCGAAGGCCTTGGCGCATCGCTCCAAGACGAACGCGGTGCAAAACGTCCTCGACCTCAAGAAGAAGGCGCACGAAGCCAAAGAGCAAGCGCGCCGCGCCGTCGAGGAGTACCAAAAGAAGGAAAAGGAGCGCCAGGAAAAGCTAGTGGCGTTGGCGCAGCTCGAGAAGGAGCGTGACCAACAGGCACTGCTCGATGCGGCCAAGCAGCGCCAAGAAGCGGCGATCGCCAAACGCCTCGAGGCCGAAACCCGCGCCCAGGAAGCTGTCGCGCGTGCGCAGGCGATGCGCGAGAAGGCGCTGCTCGCCGCCAAGATGGTGCGCCAGACGTCGCGCGCGACGATCGAGAGCTCGATCCAGCAAGAGGAAGCCAGCCGGGCTTTGGCGTACCAGCAGCAGATGAGTGCGCTCGCCCACGAGAAGGACACGGCGAGGCGTGAGCGCCTCGAGAAGGAGCGCATTGCGCACGAGAAGCTGCAAAATGCCACCGAGCTGCGCGAGCGCGCGGCTGCTGCGTCGGCCGAGCTCGGTCGCCATCACTCTAGCACGGCGTCGGCCTAGTGTATGTCGCTGCTTATTTTATCTTTTAATTTTATTAATATTGCACTCTGGACACGATCTGTCATGCGGAGGTGGGACCCACACGTGGGATTTGGTGGCGTTTACGTTTTACACGCCAACCACCCAAAGCGTGTGACAGCATGGGCTGGGCGATCGTTGCGAGAAGATGAAGAAGAGCGGGTGCGTGTCTGCGCCATCACACCTCGAGGAGGGATCATGCTCCACTTTGGACGGACGGCTGCGAGCGCAGCTGCAATTCTAGTTCCCATGAGCTTTGCACGCGATTACGAAAGATCTTGACGCGCGTTGGGCTTGAGCTAGACTTCAAGGACCTCGGTTCTGCGCAAAGTTGGACACAAATGGGTGCAGCGAGTCGACGTGGGAATCGCACGCGATGCCAGGTGACGGTCTCCGTCGACCGTGAGAGCGTTGACAGCACCCTCCTTTCGTTCTCGAGCCGGAAAGGATGGTCAGACAGTTGTGCAATGTGGCCGCGTGCATGGATGATACAAGGCGTTTCGCACCGTCCCATAAACTGCCTATGCTGCTCGAGGTGGACAAATGTATGGACAGCGTCTTCTTCCATCATCCGCGTCCGTCCAAGCGCAGTTTCTCACGTGGCTTCCACCATTTCCCACCCGGTGAAACCGTTTTCTGAACTCATCGAACAAGTGTGATAATCCACTTGCGAGTTTGACCAAGCAATGACGGACCACGCCGATACGACGGTGCCAGGACAGGACAAGCACCACGACTTGTTGACGCTTCATGGCCACAACCCAATGCCCCTCGCCAAGCTCAATGAGCCGCGGCCAATCGAGTCGGACAGCGACGACGACGAGGCCGTCAACGCGCGCATTACGTGGCGCGCCGCCACCGACGCCAAACTGCAAGCATCGACAGTGGTGGCACACACGGCTGTCGCAGTCGCCGGAGACGCTACCTGTGTATGCATCGATCCCCAAGCGTCGCTTGAAGCCGATCGCAGGGCCGCCGCCTCGATTGATCTGCAGCGGACCGAAGCACAGGCGTCGCGGCGCGAGAAGGAGGCTGTGCTGCATGCCAAGGTCGCCGATGCGCACACCAAGGTCGCCGAGGCCGAAGCCGTCGCCCGTCGCCGCATCGAAGACCAAGCACGCCTCGACGAAGCGTCGCGAAAGGCAGAAGAAGAGGCCGAGCTCGCGGCCTTTCGAGCTCAGTTGGATGCAACGCGTGAGGCGCGGCGTGAAGCGGCCGAGCGCCACGATCAAAAGGTTCTCGAAGCTGTGCTTGCTGCGTCCTTGTACGAGTATAACGAGCACCAGCGCATCGAGAAGCAGCTCCACGACGCTGAGGCCGAAATTGAGCGCACGCGGACGTTGAACCTAGCAGAGCTCGACCGCATTCGAGCCCATGCGGCAGCGGTCAAGCAAGCATCGCGCGACGCTGTCGCAGCGTCACAAGCCAAGGCGCAGCGGCTTGCCGACGAAGCGGCCAAGGCGGTCCATACGTATCAGGAAACCGAGGTTCACCGCCAAGAGGCCCTATTGCACTTGAGCACGCAAGAGTCGGAGCGCGACATGGAGGCGCAACTCCACGCACTGCACATGCGCCAAGAAGCCGCGACGCTCCGGCGCATCGAGAGCGAACGCATGGCGCAAGCTGCGCAAGCACGCGCGGCGCAGCTCCGCGACGAAGCGATCGCCAAGGTCAAGCAGGTGCGCGAGCTGTCCAAGCAAAAAGTGGCGTCCGACCTTCTCCACGAAGACGAGCTCCGCGATCACCACTACGAAACTCAGCTCCAAGCCCTCTCGCTCGAGAAGGCGCAGGCGACGCAGCGCCGTATCGAGCGGGAGCAAGCGGCCGAAGCAGCCCAAGCGCGTGCCGTCCAGCTGCGCAACGACGCGGTCGCCAAAGCGCGCCAAGTCCGGGCGATGAGCAAGCAGCAGATCGGGCTGCAGCTCGAGCGCGAAGAGAGCATCCGCGAGCTCTCGTACGAGACCCAAGTCACTCATCTTCACGCCGAGAAGGACGCGGCAACGCGGCATCGAATCGAGGCCGAGGAAAAAGCCGCAACTGCCTTGGCCCGCGCCGCGTCCCTTCAGAGCCAGGCGATGGCAGCAGCTACCAAGGCCCGCGCCGGGTCCACATCTTTGCTCCACGCAGACGAGATTCGACAGCCGGCTGCATTCTTAAGCACACCCGAGTCGCCACGCACGAGCTTGAACGAGCCGCGGTCGGCCGTTCTTGAGCACGAATCATCTCGAGCTATCGTGGAGATGGCAACAAAGCCCGTGTCGGTGCGGCCATCGTCGCTCGCGTCCACGGACGTAACGATCGATACGACGACCGCGCCGGAGAGTACGACGTCGGTAGCAACCGCTGCGCCGGAGCGACGACGACCGAGTCGCGACGCCAAGAAAAAAGCGAAAGACAAAAAATGCGCTATCATGTAAGAACCCTAACCACATTAATATATTTTCTCGTCGTGCGCCGACGTCGCAACTATCCCCAAGGGCTCATCAACGGTTTATGGACCCTTGCTGTACCGGTCGGTACCCACACAGGGAGACGAGAACTCGAATGGATAAAACAACACAGAGGCTAATACGTTGATAAGTTAAAAGAGGTGGTCGAAGAGCGTCGACGCGGGGTGCGTCATCGAGGACGAGCTGGGGGAAGTGGTTCGTGTCGGAGGATGCTTTTGCTTGCGGTGGTGGACCGGGGACGACGCATCGTCCGACACATACAGCTCGTCGTCAAAGCTGCCCGTGGTTTCATCGTACAGCAAATCGCGGTAACTCGAATCTTCGGGCGTCTCTTCGTCGTAGCTTGTCGTCGACTCTTCGACCGTCTCGGCGTCCGAGATGACCGACGCGGTGCGCGGGCCTTTGAGAAACCCACGGGCCTCGTCGTGGTACGCGGCCACGTTCTCTCGCAGCCAGCTGTGGGCGAGAAGCTCTGGAATGCTGGGTCGCCGGCGGACGTCCGACACAAAGATCAGTCGCAGAAACTCTTGCAGCGACGACGACATAGAGTCGGGGTACTTGACTTGGTTGCGGTACACGTCTTGACGCAGCGCGGCAAACGTGCTGTCATCAAACGGCGCACAGCCCGTCACGAGCGCAAAGAGGAGGACGCCGGCGCTCCAGACGTCGGCGGGACCACCCTCGACGCCCGTCTCGCGCGTGTTGCTGTTGAGGAAGAGGAGTTCGGGCGCGCAGTAGAGCGGCGTTCCACACACAGTCTTGAGGCGGCCGGCACTCTTCTCCGACAAGCCAAAGTCGATGAGCTTGACGTGCTGCGACGTCGAGATGAGGACACTAGAAACGCTATGAGCATTCTGCACACAAGAGATCGGCGAAACGTACTTTTCTAGTTTGAGGTCGCGGTGCCAGACGTTCTGGCTGTGGCAGTAGGCGACGGCGTGCAGGAGCTGCTCAAAGACATACGCCGCCGTGCGCTCGTCCATCTTGGAGTAGTCCAGGATCTGCTGCAGGAGGTCGTGGCCGTCGACGAGTTCGTGGACGATGCAGATGCGATGGGATGTCTCGTAGCCGCCGAGGTACTCGATGATATTGGCGTGTGAAAGGCTCTTTGCGATCTCGAGCTCGCCGACAATCTTCTTGAGGCGTCGCCGGGCGCGCTGGACGGCCGTGTCGCGCGAGTTGTAGCCGTCAGCAGCAATCGATTTGCGCTGCTCGATCATCTGCGCCTTGTCAAAGACCTTGATGGCCACGCGCCGGTCCTTCGCATGGTCGTACGCTGCATAGACCTTGGCCGTGGCGCCGCTGCCAATGACTTTTTCGAAGATAAACTAAAGTAGATTGAGATATACTGAGCGCCTGCATGCTCTGCGTCGCACGTCGTACCTTCTCGTGGAGTTCGGCCTCTGTGATCTCGGGCCCGAGAAGGGCTCGTAGCTGGTCGTGCAAGGTTGGCGCTTTGCTGGACCTGTCATCTTGCGGTGGTATCTAGCGCTGGTGTCACTGGCGCGTCGTCGTCGTCGTCGTCCGGGCTTGCTGCATGCACGGGCAGGCAAGGATGGTCGTGTTCGAGGTAGACAGCTGATGGCGCAATGATGGTGGACTGCCGATTCCATCTTGGTTCCACCCAACGACTCGAACGTACTTGCATTTATTATACTCGACATTCACTCTTCTCGATTGGTTGAATATTGCCCAATGAATGCGCTTGAACCGAAACCGTCAGGCCTTTTATCCAATCAAACGATCGGACGTATTTTTGAGGCATGTGGTTCAAGGATCCCAACCCGATTTCTCACGAGTAACCGGCCGCGCTTTTGGACCAATGACACCCGCGTGCGAGGTGATTTGACCAATCGCAAGGCCGCCTGCCGTTGACACGCTACGCACGACCTTGAAGTACGGGTGCGCGCAAGATCGCCAAAGGTTGTTCGACGACGCTAGTGGGCGGACCACTGGCGATCTTCACGCGCTACTGGCGACGACGGTCTCAGCTTCTTGCGCCGGACGTGGCGAGCTACTTGCAAGCGCGTACGTCAAGTAGAGAGTTCCTAACGGAGCTTGGCCAACCGAGTGCCAGGCCCACTTTGCACCCACGTTTGCACCCCCTCGAACGTGTCTAGAGCATGACGTGGCGCTGGTGCACTGGTACCATCCTCTGGTTTTGACTGGTCTGCGAAACCAATGCCTGCGACGAAGGGACCCAGCTTCAGAGGTATAAAGATATGCACTTGTCGATTTGGTTGCTCAGATGCGGCACTGCATCTTGGAATCTGAGACGCAGCGGCGACAGCAGCGGCTACTGCGGCCACTGTTCACGCGAAAGATTGCACGCCTAGAGGATATTTCTCGGATTGTGGTTTCTGGGCGACGTCGCGTTTGCACTGGTGCGATCGACGGCAGTGGGCAACGTCGTGGAAGAGCCACACGGCTTCTCGAACATGATCGAAGGGGGTAGCAATCCTTTTCGGCGTGTCTACGGGAAGCCTTTCCAGCACCTTCCGAGGTTGGCGCCTTGGACAACGAGCAGTTCTCAAAGCACCACGAGCTGGAGATTGGAGCTGGAGCGATCGAATTTGCGCTCGATTTCGTGGCTACTTGTGGCACGGTCACGACCTCATTGAATTCCATCCGCAGTCTATAGCAATACGTATATCCTCACTCGAGTCCATCATCAACAGAGGCCTACGGGCGTTGTCCATGTGTCTCCTCGCTTCAATGCCTTATCTTTGTCGGCCGCAACGCCATGGAGGCCATACCCAGTCGTGCGCCAGCGCTTGCCTATGTGGTTGCCCTGTCCCGACCCGCCACGTCCCATCGCTGCAGGATGTCGAGTCGCGTCCCTCTAAAGTACGCCCGTCCAAAGCGCACTTGAGCGAGCGTGCAATAGATTGGCAATCGCGGCATGGGATTGGCTACTTTTAGCCAATGAGAGGCGCGTATTTGGCTGAGCCATTGGTGGAGGCGAAATCGCCACCAGTAAAAAGCTGCGTGTGTCAATTTCGCTAACTGCAACGATGGCCCCGAAGCGCAAGGCTGCTGCGATCGAGTCGGAGACGACCAAGGCCGACGAGCTCAAGAAGGAGCTGGCGCAGATGGACGCGACCAAGCCCAAGTCGAGCTACATCAACAAGCAGCGCGTGCTCGTCTTCGCGTCGCGTGGCATCACGACCCGGTACCGCCACTTCCTCGACGACCTCCGGAAGCTTTTGCCGCACCACAAGAAGGACGTCAAGCTCGACGCCAAGGACACGCTCCACGTCGTCAACGAGATTGCCGAGATCAAGGGCTGCAACACGACCATCTTCCTCGAAGCGCGCAAGCGCCAGGACCTCTACATGTGGGTGAGCCGCACGCCGACGGGCCCGTCCGCCAAGTTCCTCGTCCAGAACGTGCACACGATGGACGAGCTCAAGATGACGGGCAACGCGCTCATGGGCTCGCGCCCGCTCCTGACGTTCGACGCCGCCTTTGACGAAGTCGCCCACCTCAAGCTCCTCAAGAACATGTTCATCCAGGTGTGGGGCACGCCCAAGGGCCACCCCAAGTCCAAGCCGTTCATTGACCGTGTCATGAGCTTCTACTACGCCGACAACAAGATCTGGTGCCGCAACTACCAGCTCGCGGACGAAGCCGACACGAAGAAGCTCGAGCAGGCTGCTGTGCACCGCGGCGAGGAGCTCACGAACCTCGTCGAGATTGGCCCGCGCTTTGTGCTTTCGCCGATCCGCATCTTTGACGGCAGCTTTGGCGGTGTCACCTTGTACCAGAACCCGCACTACGTGGCGCCCAACGAGGTGCGCAAGAACGCGCACTTGGACAAGCGCGACCGGTACGTCACGCGCAAGCTCGCGCAGGACTCGCGCGCGAGCCGCAACGAGCTCAACGTGATGCCCGAGGATCAGTTCGCCGACGTCTTTGCGGGCGCGTCGAGCCCCTAAACGCTTTGACTCTTCTACATTTCTTATGGCATTATATAACAAATGGATTCCGTCCTTCATCACTGCTGTGTTGACGGGCCTCGAGCCGAGGCAGCTGGACCCGCTGCGAGTCCATAAGTGGAGGTGTCATTTGCCGCAGACGCTCCAAGACGATGGCCTCGAGGAGGCGCAGGCGGTGGGCGGCGCGATGCATGCCGTACGTTGCAGACAAGCGTTCGTCGTACAAGTCTAGTCGAAACATGCTCCAGCTCATCCAGGCGGCGTGCTCTACTGACATACTACCTTGGAGCTCGAGGCCATCCGTGTGCTCAAAGGCGGGAAGGTACTGCGCTAAGGAGAGCGAGCGCAGAAAGTCGGCGACCTCGGATGTCGACCAGACGGCCATTTGGCGCGGCGCGGACGCGTCCCGACTCGACCATACCGGATCCCAGCGACGAAGAAGCGCGACAACCTCGGCGTGGCCACCCGTGAGTGCGACATCGAGTGGCGTGTCGTTCGTCTCGTGTGCCAAGATGTCGGTGCGGGCGCCCGCGATCAGCAACGCTTTTGTGCACTCGAGCGCCCCTTCCGCTGCCGCCATGTGCAGCGCTGTCCAGCCCCACACGTTTTGTTCGTCCAAGAGCACGTTGGCGTGCACGAGCTGGTGCAAGCAGTGCTTGGCGTTGTTTTCTGCCGCCAAATGCAATGCCTGTACGTGCTCGTTTCAACGGGAAGGGGATGATGCTCGATTGTCTGTACCGTGGTGCCGTCGGGGTCCTTGAGGTTGCCGTCGGCGCCGCGCCTGCACGCGTGGGAATATGAGTTGATGCACTTCTTACAACCGATTTGGTACCGCAGCAAGAGGTGCACGCTGTGGTGGGCGTGCCACGCACTGGCGAGCATGAGCGCCGTCCGGTCGTGCTTGCCGTAGCCGTTGATGACATGGTCGCGATTCTCGAGCGTCTGGAGGAGCGCGTCGAGCATCGCCACGTCATTTGTAAGTGCAATCTCAATCAAGGCTTCGACCATGGCCGTGATGGACTTAACGCGACGAGGCAAAACCGACACCTCGCAGCGTTTCAAAGCCGATGATTGCAAGATCCATTGCGAGTCGCATGGGCCAAAACCTGAGCGCCGATGCGACCGAAGTCGTCCACTTTCGCAAGATGGTAGCTAGCGCGTAGTACGACGCCAACTGTAGTCCCTCGAGTACTAGGTCAAGCACACGTTTCACGGCAACGTCACCAAGCTCGAGACGCATTTTTACGAGGCCTCGATGGCCTTTCAGGTCCGTCGCGTTGGCTCGTATGCTTGTCTCGACATGGTGTAGATCTCCCGCGCGGCGTACATTGACGTGAGCAATCGCATCGAAGGCCGCATCGAGAGCATCCACGACTCGATGCGCCACGAAGCCAAGCTCGAGAAACACTTGGACGAGAAGCAGCTTTTCTTTGCCGCGATCGAAGACGGCCGCATCGTGCTCGGCGACACGCTCCTGCATGTGGCCGTCCGTCTCGGCCATGTCGAGGTCGTGCTCTTCCTCTTGAGCATCGGTCTGCGCGAGAATGTGCCCAACTTTCGAGGTAGTTCATCCGAACTTATGGGCTCACTGGAGCTGGTTGGCGTAGGCCAGTTTGCCCACGAGTGCTGCAAGCTTCCGTCCATTCAAGTGCTCATGGACGATGTCGTGCTCGTCCACGACGTCCTCGGCTTTGACTATGACGACGAGCCTCGCGTACGGCGCCATGCTCGGAGATAATGGACGGGCCACAATAAGATCGTAGGTGCATCGCCTTGTGCATTCCTTGCGCACGCTCTGGCCGCTATGGGTCTCGAAAGCCATCGCCTTGACACGCAATGACACTAGTACGATTGATAGATGTACGACGCGTCGGAAGCGGGGCCGCTCGTGCAAGTCGTGTCGGACACACGAACGTCTCATTTGCAGTACGCCAAGCTCGTCAAGATTGCGGCTACCATGGCGAGCCGGTGGGACCCATATCGCTGATCCATTCGACATATTCGATGCATGCTTCTAGGTACCGCACGCATGTGACGCTGAGCGGTCTTCCGATCGCGCTCGAGCTCCTCCGCGCGCACGACCGGCAGGCGTACGACGCCAAGCGCGCGTTCCACAAACTGCCAACGGCGCAGAAACTTCAAGTCCTTTGGGACGTACGTTCCAGTCGCCCATATTGCATCTGAAATCCAAGCGCTTCATTAGATTCTTGGCACGTACTTTCCTCGCTGGACGCACCTCAAGAGCGTCGAGAAGGACGCTGCGTACTTGGTGCCAACACAATGTTGCCGCGACGTCTAACGCAAGTGCGTCGGTTGCGTAGGCGTTTATCGAGGACGCGATGGGCGCGTGGATCACGATCGCCGACGACTTGCGTCTGTACCTCGACGACGCGACCTTGCCCACGGACCCGAATGTGCTGCAGGCGCTCGAGCCACAAGTCTGGAAGCGCCGATTGGCGCCGCCGACGGACGCGGTCGAAGACCTCTGCGCGCACATAAGCGGTGTCGAAAAGTTTACCGGTCTCAAGCACCTGCACATCGACCACGCGACACACAAATAGTTTGGTTTGCTAATGAACGCGCAGCAGACGACAAGGGTTAATACTGCATCTCCGTAAGGGTAGATATACATTCAATATTGAATTGATCTACCCTTGCTTGGTATTCCGAGCGTCGTTGACAGTCTCGTCTTTTATGAGTCGTGCCCAGGAGAGGCGCCCGCCCTGGTTCCCACCACCTTGGATTCGTTCTCAGCACGGGAACTGGGTCCTCGGTTGAAGCAATCAATGTGGTTGCGGGACTTGTCACCGCATTCAAGGTAGCACAAATGCAGCCCGACACTGGCCGAAAAGAGGATCGTATTACATCGTGCACGAACAGATAAAACACAACTCGTTGTCAAGCATGTTTATATTGACGTCGTCCTCAATCTCTCTCTAGTGCGGCGATGCGAAAGACGTCTTAGCCAAACTTGCCGTCAAAGCCGACAAAGCCCGCGAGCTTGAAGACGGGGAAGAACTTTTTCGCGTGGAGGCGCGAGCACCAGTTCCACGCGCTCGTGAGGCGGCCGTCAATGCACGAACCCGCATCGAAGAAGTTGTCGGCGCCGCTGCCGTCAAATGCCTCGCGGAAAAAATCGACGAGGATGTCCTTCTTGAGCGTCTCGGGGCCGCCAAAGGTCGTCGCAATGTACTTTTGGAGCTCGGCCGACTTGGCCGCCAACTCGTCGATCGCGTCGATGGTCTTGACGATCGGCCGAAGAATGTGCCCGACCTGCGCGTACTTGTCGATAAACATGAGTGCGTTCGGCACGTTCTTGTCGCCGAGATGGATGACACTCGAGCCGACCCAGTGCTCCAAGCGCTCCTGCGTCGTATGCAAAAGCACATGCATCGCACGCGAGACGAGCGGCGACGCCTGGATGCGGTGGAGGCCCTGGCCCGTGTCCGTGAGCTGGTACGGCGACTTGGCCGTGAGCAGGTCGTCGTCCGTGAGGCACCAGAGGCGAAACATGTCGTGCGCGATCTCGCGCCAGAGCGTGAGCGACTGGAGGACGTAGTGGTACTGCCGCGCGTGCGAGTGCGAGAGGCGCGCGCCGTCGCTGCCCGAGACGATCGCGAGCGAGTACTTGGCATCGACCGTCGTATCTTGGCTCGGAAAGTGCGTGGTGAGGAGCGTGATCATGCGGTCAATCGGGTCCCGCTCAAAGTAGAGATGGTAGTTGTTGTCCGCGATCGAGTAGAGGCACTGCTGGATCTCGTCGGCCGAGACGCTCGACGAGAAGAACGACCGCGTGATCTCCTTGATCGCCGCGTCCTTGGCCTTGATCTGCTGCTGAATTTTGGCTCGCGACTTGCCTTCGGGTGCCACGACCATCGTCGCTGTCTCGATGAGCGGGTGGTCGAGGATGCCGAGCACGCCATGCGCTTCGAGCACAGCGTAGACCGTCTTGAGCGGCTTGACGGGCGAGAAGCCGAGGAGGTCGTGGATCGCAGGCGACACGGCGTCTTGCAGCAGGTACATGAGCGCACCGTACTCGCCGCGCATCTTCTCGGGGTTCATGATCTTGTAGCGCCGCCCGAGCTCGAAAAGGTCGCCAAAGAAACCTTCGAGCGGCTCAAACTGCTTCTCGTCCAAGAGCGTCTGGCCGGCTTTGTAGTCCATCGAGACGACGAGGCCGCTAAGGAAGCCGGCGATTTCTTGCAGCTGGAGGCGCGTGCGCTTCGACGGGTTCATCGCAAGCAGCGTGTCAATCTTGTCCGTGTAGTGACACACGCTGAGCGCGGCCTCGAGCGTCCGGAGGCGCTTGCGCTCTTCGTACGTGAGGCGCACGGGGATGTACCGTGCGCGGTCGCGCATGGTCGCGTTCGGGACTGCATGTGCCGACGACGACGGGAGCTGTTTCGAAGACAGTCCGCCTAAGAGCAATGAGCCCATCAAGGTACAGATATTGCGCGACGACGACGAGCCGCGGAAGCGGGAGGGCCTCGAGTTGCCGCTGTCATCACTGTCGTCGGAGGAATCGGCATCACCTTCGTAGGGTCGGCTCGACGCAGTAGACGGCAGTGGCACCGTCGGCGCAGCAGGCTGGATCTACAATGCAACTGAGCGTCGGCGTCGCAACGGAGCTGCACCTTCTCGCGGGCGTCGTCCGTCGACTGCAGAATGGGCTGGAAGGTGTGTGTTTTCCGGTTGCCCTTGCGGTGCTGGCCACCGTAGCAGAGGCGGCAAAAGTGGTCATGGCACTGCTCGCAAAAGACCTCGGACCGCTGGTGGCGACACTCGATGCAGACGGTCGTGTCGACGTTCACATCGTCGTCGTCGTCCATGGTCTCGTCCTCGGCGGCGCCAATGCACACGCCGACAGCCGACACGGGCAGCACGTGGTTCTCGCCATCGCTCTCGCCATCGTCATGGTCCAAGAGCTCGGACAAGCGGCGCAGTCGACTGATGCCAGAGTAGTCGGCCATGTCGTCGGCAGTACCCCAAAAGTAGTCTGTGGCCGTCCAAGGCGACTTTTCATTGGGGAAAATAACCGATTTACGACCCAATCAAACCGCAGTATTTACAATCCTCCACAGAAACGCACCACTACGTACTGCCTTCCGATCGTGTCCCCACGAGACGCTGCTAAACGCTTCGTGCGGACCGTGCGGTCGAGGCGCCGTCCTCGTCCGCACTGCTTGTCGCTGACACAAAAGAGTATCTCGGACGCCACCGCGTTAGCGGCCACGGGATTGGCCAAAATGCCATCTTTCATGCACCAATCCCAGGCGTGATAACCAAGACCATTGCCCTCTTGCACCGACTGCACTTGACGGCCGCTGGCTCTGTACGCACTAGGATTGTTCCGGCTCGCGTCACCTCCTCGGAATCTTCAGCCCAATGCGATAGGCAGCTTACGCCGTGCTTGTCGCCCACCGTCATCACTCGGCGGAGGAATCAATGGAAGCCGATGGACGGCTCCGGATTCGCCAAAATGCTGGCAATCCAGTTTCGACAGCGAATCACATGGCGCCAAATTCGCAGAGCCCAAAGAGAAAGCGTGCGGTCCATACGCCGTGGCACCGGGGTAGCGACAGCGCCACGAACCGCAGTTGCTCCATGCACGCCCAGAATGGCCCGTCGCTCTGATATATACCATCCCTTCGACGTGGCGTCGCAGAGCCACAAGTCCCTTCCTCGAAAGTGAGCAGCCGCGTATCCGGAATCCATCCGGTTGCCAAGCTGCATTTGGGTGCGAAAATTCTCCAGGGCTTTTGCGGTCATTGTTGGATTAGAATGGCCGAAGTCACGAGCGTCGAGCAAGTCCAGGTACAGCTGGAAGCGAAGGCCAAGGTCGAGGAGGCCAAGGCCACGGTGGCCAAGGCCGCGCCCGCGCCGCGCGTCTACGAGTCCAAGCTCGCCGAAGTCCGCGAGTGGAAGAAAAGCACGTTGAGCCTCGAAGAGCGCTTTGAAATCTGCCGCAGCGTCGGCGAGGAGTGCATCAAGGACGAAGAGCTCAAGCTCCTCCTCGAGAAGAAGGACCACCCGATCTGCTACGACGGCTTTGAGCCCTCGGGCCGCATGCACATTGCCCAGGGTATCCTCCGCGTCATCAACGTCAACCGCCTCACGAGCGCGGGCTGCATTTTCCGCTTCTGGGTCGCCGATTGGTTTGCGCTCCTCAACAACAAGATGGGCGGTGACCTCAAGAAGATCCGCAAGGTCGGCCAGTACATGATTGAGATCTGGAAGGCCGCCGGCATGAACATGGACAACGTCCAGTTCCTCTGGGCCTCGGACGAGATCAACGCGCATGCGGACGAGTACTGGACGCGTGTCATTGACGTGGCGCGCCGCTTTAACATTGCGCGCATCCAGCGTTGCTGCACGATCATGGGCCGCAAGGAGGCCGACGACATGAGCGCGGCGCAGCTCATGTACCCGTGCATGCAGTGCGCGGACGTCTTCTTCCTCAAGGCGGACATTTGCCAGCTCGGCTTGGACCAGCGCAAGGTCAACATGTTGGCCCGCGAATACTGCGACGAAGTCAAGATCAAGCACAAGCCGGTCATCATTAGCCACCACATGCTCATGGGCCTGAAGCAGGGCCAGGAGAAGATGAGCAAGAGTGACCCGGACTCGGCCATCTTCATGGAAGACACGGCGTCGGACGTGAGCCGCAAGATCAAGAAGGCGTACTGCCCGCCCGGCCAGGTCAACGACAACCCGATCATGGACTACATGAAGCATATCATCTTCCCGCTCTTCACGACGGGTGTCACGGTCAAGCGCAAGGAAGACTTTGGCGGCGACAAGTACGCGACGACATGCATATCACCTCGGCATGCCATCTCCTCATCTTCTTATCTCTAGGACGTACCTCACGTACGAAGAGTTGGCGGCCGACTACGCGGCCGAGGCCATCCACCCGGGTGACTTGAAGCCGACGTTGACCGACTACCTCAACCAGTACGTCCACATCAGCCATCCTACCCGCGCCACCAGCCATCTCACCGCGCTGCATAGGATCTTGGAACCGGTGCGCCAGCACTTTAGCCAGGGCGAAGCCAAGAAGCTCCTCGCCGAGATCAAGAAGTTCAAGATCACGAGATAAACAACCAGGAACGCATGACCTGTGCAAGCGGTCGTCATCGTCGTCCTGCAAACATCAGACAATCATGTATTTTGTGTGCTTGAAATCACCCTCTTATGCAGCATCGGGAAAATGGTGCTGGCGGAGCGGGTACAGGTGGTGCGACTTGTCGTTGATGTGCTTTGGGTTGTCCGTGACCAGCCACAGCGTGAGCGCGTACCGCCGCGCCGCAATGTTCTCCACAGGTGTCTCGCACGGCAGCACGTCGTGGGCCACGAGGTCGCTCCAAAAGACGGCGAGCGTGTCGGAGCGTGGCTCCACCACATGGGTGCCATTGGGCGCAAAGACGCGCAGCTCGCCGCCGTGGCCAGGCTCCCAGTTCGGGTTGAGGTAGTAGACCATGGTCACCTTGCGCTTGTCGGGGAGGCCCGCCGTATCGCAGTGCTTTGGATCTACACGACGACGTCAGAAACATCATAGAGAAGTCTCGGGGACGTACAGGAGGCGCCATCGCCTAGCGACACGGCGAGCTTGGACGCATACGCGCGCGAGCTCATTTGGAGGCCGGGAAAGAGGGTATTGAGCATCTCGGGCGCCTGGAGCATGACGCTCCGCGTGTAGTGGAGGATCGTTGGCGCCAAGTCCCATTCGTGTCCGTTGAGCTCGGAAGCAAACACGTTGTGCTTGGGGTACGCGTTGCCGTTGGCATCGACCGAGTTGGATTGGAACATGTGGCCCTCGGCATAGAGCTTCTCGGCCTCGGCACGCATCGCGAGGCTAATGGCGCTCGAGGCAAAGTCGCGCAGGATGCAAAAGCCCTGCGTGTTGAGGCCATGTCGGATCGCATCTTGGGTCGACTGCGGGAAGAGCGGGAGGAGGACGTTCTCGTCAAAGGCCGGCGCCGAGAAGGCGCGCGCCCGCAGCAAGTGGCGGCGGCTGCGCTGCCCGAGCGCCAGCATCCGTTGCATCGTCGGCCTGCACTATTGCGATCTGCCAGAAAGCCGCGCTCGCCACAAATAGTATTCGTTGACAAAAAGGGGTGGTCACTGCATTGGAATAGTGTTATACATGAATAGTGTATCCTCACGGCAACGTAGGGTCGTGACGTCCAGTGAGGTCCCAGGCAGAGATGCGAGCTCCCATTGTGGTACTACGGTATATAACAGGAGGTCACGGATCGCTTCGCTTGGCCCATTTACAGTCGCACGCCCGACCGCCCTCTTGCCTTGAAGGATAACTAACGCTGTTTCGCATGCGTGGCAGCATATACTGTGTAGGATGGTTTCTGGCGTCAACCATCGATTTAGAGCGCGATCGTTTCGCCTGCGCCTTGCTTTGAGCTACGCACAACAGGAGTGGCGCCGCAAGACCGCATGAAGCCAACGTTGGGCGTCGCAGCGCGATCCCAGCCGCCGAGAAATGCTGTGACGAGAAATAGTGTCATGAGGCGCGACGAGGAGTGGCGACACTAATCCCATCGCACTCGGGCGACGCCGATTGGCCGCATGCTTGTGACTTATGACCAATGGTGTGTGAAATAACTGCCAATATCAGCGAATCAGCGGTCACTTTGGCTTTTGCGCTCCTCTAGCAACGAGATGACGGACGTCTTTGTGTATGGCACGCTCAAGCGGGGCTTCTTCAACCACGACGTGTACCTCAAGCCCGCGGAAGAGAAGGGCAAGGCGACCTTCCGCGGGGTCGCGACCACCGCGGGGCCCTTCCCGCTCGTCGTCGGCGGCGACCGCTGCGTCCCGTTCCTCCTCGACATCCCCGGCGAGGGCGTCCCGATCCAAGGCGAGCTCTACACGGTCGACGACGCGTGCTTGCAGGGCCTCGACATCCTCGAGGCCGTTGCGTCCGGCTACTACAAGCGCGTCAAGATCCCCGTCATTCTGAACCACGAGACCATTGCCTCGTACGTCTACATGCGGGCGGTCGAGCCCAACGACCCGCTCGTCGAGCTCGAGAAGGTCCCGTCCTACACGCTCGAGGCCGCGAAAGGGTATGCGCCGCGGACCGAGATCCCGAACCTCGAGATCCTCGCACTCATTTACGATATTGAGAGCCATCGCCTCTCGGAGCTGGAGATGGACCTTCGGGCCATCATGGCCCGTGGCGCAACGTTCCAAGAAGCGTGGCAATCTCTCCTTGGGTAAGGCGAATATACACGACGTTTTTATTGCTGGTAGACAAAAGGACTAGTAGAAATTGTGGTGGCGTGGACGGGACGCTGCTGCTGCGTCTTAGCTCGTGCGGACGACAATGGCCGTAATGTCGTCGCGGCTGCCACGCTCGACTGCTTCCTTGGCAATCGCATCGCTTGCGCGCTGGCAGTTCTTCTCGTACTCGTCGTCGAGCACGTCTTCGGCAATGTCGAGAACCTCGTCGTTGGAGAGGACGTCCCAGACGCCGTCGGTCGCGAGGACATAAATACTGTTACGGGCGATCTTGCCTTCCGAGATCTCGGGGACCGCGACGACCCATCCTTCCATGCCCTTGGCCTTCATGTCAATGTCGCCAATGGACCGGGAAGGAGCTAGGACGCCGGCGACGCGGCCACCGACGACGGAGCCGCCAGCCACGAGGATGCGCCGCTTCTCGAGCGGGCAGCTCGCCTTGTGGTCCGTGGACAGCGCGTGGACTTGCCGCTTCGGGTGGGCTTGCGGCGACACCTCGAGCGCCGCGATGCGGCAGTCGCCAAGGTTCATGACGAACCGCCGGTGCGAGCCATCTTGGAGCACGAGAAGCGCGACAAAGCAAGCACCGCTGTAGTCGCTGGCGTCGGCCGCGATCTGGTTGAAGCGCGCTTCAAGCGTCGCGACAGCGGTTTCGAGGCTCGCCTTTGTAATCTCACTTTGCTCGTCGATGACGCTCACAAGGTGCGTCTTGACGTACTCGGAGGCCAAGGCGCCGCCATGGCCGTCCATGACGGCGAAGAGGGCGTATCGGTCACCATGGTGCACGAGCGACCGGTCTTCGTTCTCGTGCGTGGGGCTCTTCCACGACGTCGCGGCGGATGTGAGCTTGGGCGCGTCGTTGGTCGGCGACTTGTCGAGCGCGTCGGCGAGCACGCGGAGGTCCGTGAACGGAGTCTGGATGGCGACCATGCTGGACTTGCTGCACGGCGTGTGGGGAATCCGGAACGACTGCGCGAGGGCGAGGAAGGACACGTGCGGGCTGGCGAGGAAAAGAGATTCTTTGCCGAGAGCGACGCTGGTCATGTACGAGAGGGGCCGCGTCGTCTTGGCTGCGGCTGCGCTTCGGCCCGTCTCGAAGAGAAGGGAGAAAGTTGGCGAGTACACAGAAATGCCAAATCAGCCAGCGAAGATTGCAACACGTCTTCGATACACATCTTGAGCTTTGTATGCCGCGATCGAAGTTTTCGAACGGCCATTGGTCACACGACATTACACACCGAGCGCGCGGGAAGGGCCGTTCGGGCGGCGCCTCCACGGCCGAGACGCCATGTCGATGCCAACGACAGCCCCATGAAAGGCCGACCGAGTTGCTTGGCCACAAAGCACGGTGAGCGTAAAACCCAAGCGGCATGGCAGCAAAAGGTATTGCAGCACATCTGTTTAAAGAACCCGGGCGAGACGAGGCGCTATGCACAAAAGGCTGGCGTGCCTCTGACGGGCCAGCGCGGGGCCGACCATCGAACCAAGAGAGGCGGCTGACGACACGACGTCGCACGGATACGCTGGATCGCCTTTTCTGTGCGCTGATCACGGAGCGTGCCACGTATGCCCAATCAGCCGTTGGCTGTATTTTTAGGCGGCACCAACAACAACGCACAGCGGCGATGGCGACGACCCGGTCCCAGCGCAAGACGTCGTTCTCGACCAAGTTTACGCCCGAGGTCGTCGGCCCCGGCGCATATGCCCCACCGGACCTGCTTGCCAAGACCGTCCAGCCCAGGTGGACTGCAACGATTGCTACTTCTCTGCTGAAGCAAGCCCGGTGTCTAGCTACTCGGCGTTTAGCAGCTCGGACAAGCGCAATTTGAACAAGAACACGGGCACTTCGGCCATGACGCCAGGTAGATGCAATATCTGGCATGTCTAGCAAGTGCTGCATAGGCCCCGGGGCCTACGTCAAGGATGCGGGGCATGGCAACGGCACAGCCATGAACGCCTTTGCCACTAAAGTGTCCCGGTTTGCACCGCATGCCCCGGGGTCCTCCATCTACAAAGCGTCGACCGTACAAGACAATCCTGGACCAGGGACATATACGGCCGACATTGAGCAGCTACCTGCGCCTGCGGCACCTGTGCCGTCGCGTCCGCAGCAGTTCAATACACCGGGCATGCAGCCGGGTGTGCCCACGATTCCGCGAAAGGATCAGAGCTACGGCTACACGGCCGATGAGAACGGCGTCTTGAAGCGGCACACGGCGCCAGCGTCCACGTACTCGGGTTTGGGCCAAGACACGGTGGGGCCCGCGGGCTACAACGTGCGAAAGGAGCCGACAGCGGACATGGCGACGACCGTGCCCAGTCTCAAGTCGACCGTGAAGCGCGAGGTCTGGGAAGAGCTCTCGCCGCGAATAGATGTGCCCGTACGTCTGCGTCAACGACCTCTTGCGATAGCTCGAATATGGCAATGTAGGGTCCCGGCACGTATGCGCCCAAGTTGCGGCCGCAGGCGTCACAGAGCGACCGGCCCAACGCTGTCTTTGCCTCCAAAGTGCCCATTCTGCCAGAGCCGAGACGTATCGAGAAGGATCAGGAAAAAGCCATTTTGCTGGCGCTCCAAGAGCAAAGCCACAATCCAAAGCCCAAGGTCGACCACCGCAACAGAAGCAAACTCAAAGACAATAATATGGAAGTAGGTCCAAGGCGTCAAGAAGGAGCAGTTTGGGTCCACGGCTGGCCGCGCCAACATTGCGTCCAACATGAACACACCGTTTATTCAGCCCACGTACAACCAAACACCCGGACCCGGCACGTACGTCGACAAGAAGACGTACGACCAGCGGCGCCGGCTGCACTCGAAAAAGAGCTTTCGAGACGACGCGGTCGGGTTCCAAGCGATCTCGGAGCGTCCGTGCTTGGCGAAAACCAAGCCCACCTATGCCACCGTACGGTTCACTTGCTCCATATCGAGACACCACTACTGTCTAGGGCCCGGGCTCGTACAACCCCGCCGGCCACGACCTCACACTCGAAAAGGCGGTGCGCCAGAAGCAACACGTGGGCCGCAACGGCGTCTTTGGCTCGACCACCGAGCGCTTCCTCTGGAACCTCACGCCCGAGGCGCTCGAGGCCGAAGAGCAGCTGCCTGGCCCCGGCAAGTACACAGCCGACGCCAATATTGTTGAGCCGGTGCCGCCGGGTGTGCGCCGCCAGCGCGTCTACACCTCGTCGTCCTTTCGTTCAACGACGAGCCGGTAGGTATTGATGCCATGCTGCGTGCATGACGGTGGCGTTGTAGGTTTCCAAAGGGCCACAACCATGCGCCGCAGTTCCATATCGTTGGCGAGTGCGCGGCGCCGGCCGTCGGCGACTACGACCTTGTTAACGTCCCATCGCACCGCGTTGCGGTCAACCCATTTCTGAAGGTCCCCTTCTTGAGCCAGGGTGCGCGCAGCGAGATTGGCGCCGACACCATGTACCGCGAAGTGCCAGGTCCCGGACAGTACGAGGTCGTCTCGCCGCGCGACCAAGTTGTTGGTGGTGCACCGAGCCACCGAACGCGCGGCAACACAATCCGGTCCACGCTTCCTCTCCAGCAGCGCTTTGAGCGCAAGCCCACCAAGCCGCACCAGCTCATTGGGCCTGGTGCGTACACGGTGCCCGGTACGGTTGGCGTCAAGACGTTCAACGTGACCATGCGTGCGAGAAATCAACAGCACGGAGGATGAGCATCGTCATAGATAAGAAAATAAGTTGCGTCGTTACCCCGAGAAGCGTCGCACGAGGTGCGGCTGGCGCATCTCCGACTGCTTGGCGCGATACGCAAAATGCAAAAAGTCGGCTTCGCCAATCACGCCGTCTTCGTCGCTGTCCATGGCCCCGAGGATGGTCGACAGTTCGTCTTGGGTCGCATATGCATCTAGTAACGCATGCGTCCGTACATACTTCTGTATGCTTGAGGAAAGACCCACCTTTGTCTTGGTCGGCCAGGAGCAACCCGAGCTTCTTCTTGGTCAGTTGTCCCTGGTCGTCCCGTGTCGCCATGTAAAAGTAGAGCTTCAGTGCTCGCCACTCTTCGTCCGTAAAGACGTCGGCGCCCATTTGCTATACATAATGCATCGCGTGAGATGAAAAAGCATGCTGGAAAAGCGACGGCACCTTCTTGTACACGGGAACACTCTCCGTCTCGATCGCTGCGTGGGCGCTCTGAATGTTGTTCTTGCGCTGCTCCCAGACTTGGAGCACGTTCATAATGTCGATCTGACCCGTGAGCTTGTCAACACTCGGGCGTCGCTGATGCAGAAAGACGCGCGACGGCACGGACGACGCGACGCGGTGCTTCTCCGACTCTTCGTTTGCCTTGATCTGCCACTGACGACGGATTTGGGCCACACGCGTGTCTTGACTGTCGACGGCATGGAACGACCGTGTGCGGCGCTTGGGCAGCACCTCTTCTTCCTCTTCATCTTGCGTCGCGCTGTCGTCGTCGTCTTGCGGTGACGCCTTTGTCGGTTGGCACATGGGTAAGCCGGGGCGCGACCCGCTCTGGAAGATTTGATTTTGAAGCTCGGCAATGCGCAAAGACACCTTGATGCATGCAATCTACGTGGCATGTAAGCTCGTGGTCAAGGCGGTAAAACACACCTTTTGCTGCGGGTGCACAGCCGCGGGGTGCATTTCGGAGGGCGGGACGAAGCCCGATCCTCGCTTGCTCACGGGCGTCGTGCTAATGGATTTGTTGCTGCGCGGCGCAGCGACCTTGGGTCGCGTCTGAATCGGCGGTGGTGGCATCTCGGGCTCTTCACGCTCCGCACGCGACGACTTGCGACGCGCCATGAGCTTGGAGATGAAGCCACCGGTCGCAAAGATGTGCGGCTTCTTTTTCTTGCTCGGTAAGAGAGCTGTCGACGCATTGCACGAGCGCACGACGTGCAGGCCAGGGCCAAGGCGGCTGCAGAGCGACACGAGTTGCAAGAACGAAATGGGCAAAAACGGCAGCGTCTCGGCGAGGAACTCGGAGACGGCGTTGACCTCGCTGGCGTGCGTGATCTTGCTCTCGGTGTGGGCACGCTTGTGCTGGACGAATTCGAGCTGGCCCGTCCATTCGTACGTCAAGTAGAGCGTCGCGCCCTATGCTCCGACGTCATGACTCTTCGCTTTGTTAAGGTGAGCGTACCATGTTCGAGTACACGTTGCAGTACTCGGGCGCGGAGAAGACGGTAACGACGGGCGGAAAGTCGTCGAGTGAGACGCCTTTGGCGTAGTGCTCGTAAAACCTGTTTCTTCCATCTACAGACACCACGCCATTAGCGCCTCACAGCATCATCTCTATCGCAATACCTCGTGCGCGCGGATGATTGAAAGAAGCTTGTTGCGCTGGAGAAACGACCGGACGAGGTGCTCGCTAAACATGTACGAGCAGCCGCGGATCGGGTTGGGCGCCCAGTCGTCGTGCTGATCATTGTCCTTGGACGGATCTGACCACAAGATATCGCAGAGCGGCCCAGACGGCTTGGGCTCGACGAAGCGGTCGAGGTCGTTGATCTCGTCGACCGTGTCAATGTCAGGCGACAGGCCGCCGTGAAGCGCAAGAAGCGTCCCGTACGAGGTCTCGATCGTCGCGGCGAGGGGCATGCTCTCAAAGCATGCGACCATGCGGTTGTACACGAGAAGGCCATACTTGCGAAGACACTCGTCGCGAAACCCGTAGTGCGTGCTCACGCTCCGGCACTCGTGGTTGCCGCGAAGGAGGTGCACGTACTTGGGAAACTTGATCTTGTACGCGAGGAGGAGCAGCATGATCTCGCACGACGACGGACCACGATCCACGTAGTCGCCAAGGAATAAATACTGGTTTGCCGGGCTCGGGTCGCCATGGACATGCAGCAGATGCAGCAAGTCGAAGAACTGGCCGTGCAAGTCGCCAACGACTACATGGTATGTCAGGACCATCCCATCGCGCGATCGTGGACCTACCGATCATGGGCGCTTGGAGCTTGAGGATGTTGAACTCGGTCGTCATGATCTCCGTCCCCTGCGCAATGAGGTCGAGCGCGGCCGTGACCGAGAGGCTGTTGCCGTGCCGGAACGCATTGCGCACAAACATGGGCTCGAGGTCGTACTTCATCATGCGCCCTTCCATGACGCACGTCGTGATCGGGAGCTTCCGGAAGTAGTTGATCGCCTTCTCATCTAGCATCGCCGCATGGATGATGATGCTGCGTCGTCGACCGACGTACCGATCGCGATCGTCTCGAGCGCGCTCTTCTTCTCCCAGTCCTTCTGCAGCGCCGACGGGGGCGGCTCCATCTTCTTCATCGTCGGGCGCGACGATGGCGTCGAGCTGAGGAAGGCCGCGAGCTTCATGCTGCGTCTGGGAAAAATCGCCGTCTGAGATCCACCCTCTGGCTTACGCCCACGCGAAAGCTCTTGCGTTTTGTATGGGCGACAAAAAATAGGGCGACCAAGATCTCCGGCCGTTCCAAACCAACGCGTTCGACGGAAATGCAATTTAGTCGGACGGCATCGACTAACTAGAACGACACCGCACCAGCTCGCTCGTACGACAAGCCAAACATTGCACCAAGCGATGATGCTTTACAGTACCGGGTAGAAACGGCCCCCTCGGCTGTACAGTACACGCTCGATCGGTTTTGCTGTCGACGAGACGCTGCCCCCTTCGTAAATAGTACTACACTTGTAGTACTCTGCAGTTTTGGCTTCTTGCGTCTCCGACGATCGCCTTCCTCCAAGGTACTGAAGTGGGTGCCAGGCAAGCGGCGCGAGATGTGCTGGAAAGGCCGTCGGGATCGATCGACGTACCGGTACTTTTTTTTCGATCGCTCTCCCTGCGCTCTCACTTGCTCGTGGTGTTTTACAACCACTTCAAATCTAGAAGGGACGCCTTCTGCGCAGCTGGGTACCCTTGGACGTACCAGTACACCAAGCTTCCGCTGCAACGAGTGCCCACGAAGAAGACAACCCTTCAAGGCGCGCGGGGACATGGCGGCCGTTCGACCTGCTGCTACAGTAACACACGGCAGAGAGCTAGAGCACTGTCCCTGTCCCTCGTCAGCACGATGGGCTTGCTGAACGCTTGTCGTCACTGATGGACGTATAGCAGGCAGAACGACGCACCCGCACACGAGGAGTAGATCGACACATCCAGCAGACAGCAACGAAGAGGAAGAAGAAGGAAGTCTTGTAGCCGGGTTGTGGGCGTGCCACGCTCCAGTCACAAATATAAAAGCGTTGCACATCACGCTCCAGTCACAAATATAAAAGCGTTGCACATCAAGCTTTTCGAGCGAGCATGCTCGATTGTTTAAAGAGCGCTTTTTAAAGCAGCACGGATTAGGTTTTGTAAATGAGCCAATCCGATGCGTTTCGAGGTGCGCGCTTTAGAACGGGTTGGTAATTCAACAACATCAACAAATCGTTCCAAGATCTGAGGCCAAGCAGAGTTGAAAAGCAAGCAAATATGGCAGACAACCGCGAGTGGACGCTGGAGGACGCCAGCGAAGAGCTCTGGGCAGCGATCGACGAGCTCCGCGCCAAGCGCGACAAGCTGGTACGCCTGCTATACATGGTCGGTGACCGACGGCGCGGCTAGGCCACGATCAACCGTACCGAAGCCATGGGCTTTACCCAGCGCATCGACATGTACAAGCGGCAAATCGCAACGGCTGTGCCGGCCATGAAGCAGTCGGCGCAAGCACAGCTGCGCATGGTCGAGCAGCAAAAGACCTTTTCGGAGCAGAACCTGCAGCGCAACACGCGGGCGATTGACACCCAGATTGAAACCATCAACCGCATTCTAGAAGAGAAGAAAGTCCGCGGTACGACAATGACGAAAATGCCACGCACGGCGTCCGCATGTGAGAGACTGTAGACCAGCGCCAGCTCGAAGAGGGGCTGCAGACGGTGCAGCAAGACGTCGTGACGTTGAAGGCGACGACACAAGCGCTCGCGGGCCAAATCGACGTCTTGAAGACCGAGGCGCGCGAGCGCAAGGCCGGCTTTGAGAAGAGCATTGCTGCGATCCGAGAGGAAGCCAAAAGCGCGGCAGAAATGTCGGAAGACATGCACACGCAGATCTACGCCCTCCAGGCGCAGTCCCAGCTCCTCATGGCCGAGTACGACGCCAAGCAAGCGGCTCTGCGCGAGAAGCAGTACATCGAGGAGAACCCGACGTACTCGATGGTGTACTCGTGCATCTTTTCCAAGATCAACGAGGTCTTTGTCGCGTCCAAGGCGCTCGCGAGTGGCATGGTCACGCGTGAAAAGTACTCGGACGGCGACCGCACCGCGCAGTACATGACGCTACTCAGCGAGTCGGTGCCGTTTCCATGCGCCAACATGGTCCTCGGGTGCATTACGAACCGCGTCCAAGCGCTCTCGGACAAGCGCGAAGAAGATCGCGTCGCCAACATCACGTCCAATGCCAACAGCTTTTCCGAAATGGACGAGGTACACTTTTCCCATGTGTCGGCAGCGACAAGGAGCACACGACTAGATTTGTGATGCGGTCGCGCGCGGTCTCGTGTTTGCTTACGAAGAGCAGCTCTGCGCGATGACGCGCCATGGCGCGTCGGTCTTTAGCGAGTGCCTCGTGCGTGGCGTGCTTGAGTTTCTAAGCACGCCGCCGTACGAGCGTGGCGTGCCATTGGATGATGACGCGTCCACCGCCAGCCTCGTCGCGCAAATCATCACGTTTTTGGGCCGACGCGATTACGTGAAACGCGAGGCCGCGATCGAAAAGATGACGGGATGCATGCCGTTCGCGGACTTTGCCATGTTTCATTGGTTCAACAAGAAGACGCCGACAGCGTCGACGCTCGAGCGGGCGCGGCGCCCGGTGCCCATCGACTGCCGCTTGCCCCAAAACGTGTCGTGGACGGACGTGGGCATTCTGCAGCTCTCGGGGATTCGCACGCGTCATGGCGACCACTACGATTGCGACGCGGCGCAGCCACATGTGTATGGGTACCGCCTTGCGTCGGCGCGCGACGCCGCCGTGCTCGGGTACTTTAGCGCGTCGCGCCAACCAGGCTACGTCGTGCCGCTCAACGACGACCAGCTCGGTCGCAACCCCGAAGCCCATACCAAGTTTTGGCGCGGGTAAAGACATTTCGATGGTATTTTTCGGCGTTTCCAGTCGACCGTGGAAGAAGATTCATGGTCGCCACAATTTAAAGATGTCTATGCGTGGTCTATTCCATCGATGCAGATTGCAAAAAAATCTGAGATGGTACAAGGACGTGCTCTCGAAAGTGTGCTACTAGTAGTAGAGAGACGTAGCGACTAGCAATCACTTCCGTCCCGTCCGCGCCACATGCATGTCGTCTCTTCATAATCACACAGCGATGTAAATGCAACGAGCTCATACTCGATCGAAATCGTGGTCGCGAGATTTCTTCAAGCCACAAGGACAAAAAGCCCCGAAGCGTCACTACCTTCACTACGACATACTTTATTCAAGATGATGACGTGGCCGCACTACTGGACAGATCGTTGACGGCACGTGCACTGCACGACTTTCCGAAGCACGGTGACGAGGTTCGCGATCGTTGCTGTCGTGGGCTCGCGGTGCTTGTCACAGAAGCTGTCGACCGCGAAAAGGACGCTGCACGCGTCGTGCGAGTTTGCGAGGTCGTGCAGCGAGGTGCCCACGCTGCCCTCTACAAGACAGTGTATTGTCCACGTGCCACCTTTTGCGATGCAAGCATCGAACCATATTCATAGTAGACGAGTAGGAAGCGGAGACCCCAGAGCATAAGCGCGTTGAAGCGCCGCGCGTCGAATGCATCGGGCGCTTGACGCGCGAGTGGTGTCAAGATGTCCATGAGGCACGCCTCGAGGTCGTCACGGGACGCCATGAGGTACGTAAGGTTCGACGCTACAACCAGTTGCGTTGAGTCGACTTCTTTTGATGTCTACGGCGCACGATGCTTGCACGCGACGACGAGGCTTTTCAGGGCCCACTCCTGGAGCGTGACGCTGTTTTGGTGTGTCAAGAAGCAGTCCCGGACACCGTCCAGCACCATGCTCGATAGCTCTTCGACTTGGTTCAGTCCTACATACTTGACATCAGACGTCACTATGGAACGAGGGACAGTACGGTCGTAGTTGGTCACAAATGCCACGTGGATGAGCTGCAAAATCGAGATGCGCATCGACGTCGACGCGCACGCGGCAATGAGGTCGGTGAGGATGTGTTCAATGCCGCTGCGACTCACTTGGTCCTTGGCGACGACTAGAAAACCCATCAACATCTAAAAAGAGACGTGAAAAGGCTACCATTGCGCTCGGCGAGGTTGCGAAGGAAGCGAATGCCCCACATGACAACGTCTGGGTTCCCAGCGTACTTTTGAAGGAGCGGAATCACCTACCATACTGTCACAAAAACAGCGTACACAACAAGAAGACCTTGGGCAATCCAAATGAAATGTAGCACGGCGGAAGCGTGTCTTCTTCGGGACATCGCACATCTACCATGGACTGTTTATGCCCCGTATGCGCGCGTATTGCGTCGACCTGCAAGCGACAAGAGCGATGCAATGCCCAAGAGGTTGCGCACGGTTTCCTCGTCGACAGAGACATGCACGAGGATATCCAGGACGGTGCGAAGCCTACGTGGGATGTTATGCGATATCGGTCGTTGGCACGACGTCTTACCCCAGTGCGTCGCGCTCCAAAAAGACCTGTCTGGCATTGTATTTTGCAAGGACAAATAGGAGACCCGCCAGGTCGGGCAGAGCGTCGTGGTAGAGCACCTACAAAGCTATAAGCTCTTGACACCAGTCCATGAATGTATGTACGAGCTTGGAGCTCCGGCACTTGGCGAGCAAGTCGACGACAAAGGCATTGTCGTCGGCACAAAACTTGCACATGAACTTGAGGTGCACTTGAGACACAGGGTGCGGCGATGGCGTTCGGGGCATGAAGAGCGCCCGCAGAGCGTAGACGCAATGACTATACCATGAGCTATGTCGCCGCGGGTGTAGGCTCCACTGAATGGACCTGGCAAAGGCGTCGTCGGGTGTGAACTGGCGCTGGGCGGCTTGGATGTTTTCAATGAAGCGTTCTTGCATGCAGAGCTCGCACGCAGTCGCTACATGCATGGTCGAGACATTCGAACTATACAATGCTGCCTACGGAGTGCATCACAGAGCGCGCCTATGGCTTCCATCGCATGCTCCTAGGAACGTCTGAATGTCAAGTAGCACGATGAAGGCAGCAACCTGTATCTTGGCGTGGAAGGGAAACCGCTCCATGGTGTCGCGCACGGTGCGCAGCATATTTTGCTTGACGAGGAGCTCGTGCGGCGTCTGTGGATCTAGTTATGTTCGTAAAACCTTGTGCGGCCTCTCTGCGCGAACCATGGGCGAGGTGGGAGAGAAGATTCGCGCCCCAGAGCTGCACGTCAATGTCGTTCGGGGCGTTGGCCATAGCATCGACAACGCCGAGCTTGTCCGAGTAGATGGCCCACTTTGCACTCTACTACGACAAAGTGCATCTCAACTAACAAAGCTGAACGACCAAATGGACCTTGACGCTGTACGCAGTCGCAAGCACATCTTGCTGGTGCTGGAGCTCGATCGCGGCGCTCGCTGCGCAGTCGAGGGCAATGCGGTACCGCCCCAGCACGTCTTCGAGTTGTGCATGCTGTTCAGCTCCTAATGGTATTGCATCACGTGACGCTGTCGTGTCAGGCTGCGGAACCCTGCTCGGTCTTTGTTGCTCGGTCGGCGTCGCAGTGTTGCAAGGTTCGCCGCAGCTCAATCAATTCGAGGCGCAGCGCATCTTCGATATCCGACTGCGCTCGGTACGCCTACGCTTCTTTTGGTCAACAAGCTCTTTTGTTTGAGATGCCGCACGGCCAATTCTTCAAGGCCCTGGCTCTGAATGTCGTCCCACTCCATGTACAGTCCTTCCAGCGCTGTGGTGGTGCGACTAATCTCGCTCTGAAGTCGCGCAGCGTCTTCGCGCTACTTCGGTTTGTGAAAAGTACGCGAGAAGAAGGCATGTCGTACTGCGCAGGCCTCGCTGGCCAAAAGAGCCGCGGCTTGGGTCTGGAGAGGCGAGAGAAGGGCGTCTTGCAGGACGGACCACGTCGCGACCTCGAACGGCGAGTGCATTTGCTACAACGCACTCGTTGAGATATCCCTTTTTCTCACGATGCGCGAGTGGTACAGCGTCGAGGACGGCGTAGTCGGCCCCATGCCGGAGGAGATAGCGGACCATGCTCGCAAAGCCCAATCGACACGCGAGGTGCAGCGGCGTCGCACCCGCCTAATCAAAATGCTTGATTATTGGGCTCGTTTGCGGTGTAGAACACCTTGTTCTGGGCATTGATGTGAACGCCAAGTCGCAGGAAGAGGGCCGCGAGGGGCTCGTTGTTCTTTTGCACGGCGACGTGGAGCCCGGTACAGTGCAGCATCGGTGGGTACCGAAGGTCCGGCGGAAGGAAATGGGGGTACTGAGTCACGATCGCGTCGACGCCAGGTACATCTTGCTTGATCACGAGCGTCCAGAAGGCCTTGATGGCAAGGTCCTTGTTCAGCGCCTTCTCTGGCATCCGGCGACCTTTCACTTGAATCTAAGCACACGCAACTTGGCATACGTGGCAGCACCAGCGACTCGTATTCATTGCGACCAGTCTGCACGTCAGCTACCTAGGATTGCACTTTTGCACACCTCATTCATCAAGAAGGGTCGACAATGCACCTGTGTACTAAAGTTTTGTCCGTCGTTGGCGCTTTCCTGTCCGCCGCAGCCCATGAACCTTCTGTACCCCGGTGTACCCAGCACATCACATACGAAACTACATGCTTCGTGATCCGCATAAACTATCCGGAAGGGCCCATCCCTATCACTCGGCACAAAACAAGCTGGCACCGTCCTTGTCGCGTCATTTACGAGATGACCGCCAGCCAACCTGTGCTGCTGGATGCGTCTACCATCGAGGAAGACGGTGGCGAAACCTACCTTGACAACAAGCTTGTCTTTCTCAAGAGCCACGACCGCGTTGCTGAAGAAGCCGAGGTCCTCTTGTCGGACAGCAGCTTCTTCATTACGCCCATCGGCATCGTCGAGACCCCTGAGTGCAAGACGCTCGTGCTGCCGTTCCTCGCAGCCTCCAAGAACCTCCGCGTCTACCTTCGGAGCCTCATTCATCCGTCGTCCCTCGCCTCGGACGCGGTCGCGCACATAACATGGCGGCTTGCAATGGCGATCGCCCACCTCCACGCCCATGGTATTGCCCACACCCAACTGTCTTCCCAGTGCGTCCTCGTCACATCGCATGGGAGCATCAAGCTCTGTGGTCTCGGCAGCCATGAGTCACACGCGAAGGACGCGAGCTTGAGAGCTGACGTACTGGCGCTACTGGACGTGCTGGGAGAGCTTTTGACGCGTGCGACGGAGCTCCAAAAGGGCTGCTCGTTTGCCATGCCGGCACCTCCGGCGTGGCTCCTCGGTCTTGCCAACGACGCTTCCAAGTACACCAGCATTAGCGACGTCATCCACGAGCTTGAGCGCCACAACGCGCACCACGGCGTTGTCTACGTCAACGACCACCACGGAGTGCGGCTGTCGGTGGCGAAAGCGCTCGAGTCAGCCCCAGAAGACACGCCGGTATTAGCCAAGACGCCCATTGTCGCAACGACGGTCGATGCATCCATGTCACCAACGCCTGCGACGCTTTCGGAGCTCTGGACGATGTACGATGTGCCGGCTCTGGACTCGACATTGCTCTCGTGCACGGCAGAAGTCGAGGGCACGGATGGCAGCGTCTTGCTTCGGCGAGGCGTGTACAACGGGAAGGACGTCATTATCCATCGCATGAACTACGCGGCCGATGTCGCGTTTACACAGCACCTTGCCCGCGTTCTTTGGTCGAGTCCATGTACTACAGCTCCTCTCACACGTTTTTATACTAGGGCTCAGTCGGACGTCTGCACGCCGCGGGTGCTTGGCCACGGTAGTGTCAACAGCGACAAGATCGCCAGCGCTGCTTTGAGCCAAGTCCAAGAGACTGTCCCGTGCCTCGTGGTGGACTGTGACGGCTCGCGGTCTCTCCATGATGTGATCGCCAACCAATGGCTGCACGACGACCCGCACCTGTGGAAGCGCAAGATTAAAGTCGCCCGTGCGATCCTCGTCGGCCTCCTCGACTGTATCGCGCGTGGCATTCGGCACGTCGACGTCACCTCGCACAACGTGTTTCTCAAGCCAGACTTGGAGACGCCCCAGTTTATGAATGTCGGTGGTCGGCGCAAAGGCGCAGACGGCGTCTTTAGCTGGTACCCGCCCGAGCTGCATCCCGGCGGCGTCGGTCTCACGTGGACCACCGACGTGTTTGTGTTTGGGACGCTCTTGTACGAGATCGCGACCAGCCACGAGCCGCACCGCGACGAAGACAGGGAGCTGGCGCTGCAAACGCTTCTGATCACGCGTGGCGCGCGCGGCGACTGCCCGACAGGGCTCGTGCTGCTGATCGCTGCTTGCTTACGCCACTCGCCCGCCGAGCGCCCGACGTTGCAAGCCACGCTCGAACGCCTCGACCATCTGCTGGTGCACGCCCCGCTCGACCTTGCGATGGGTTCGTTGCAGCGCTTTTGTACTCGATGCTTGAATGGCATCATGTTGTAGACGGCGACATCAACTTGATCGAGCTCGACACGACACGGCTGGCGGAGCAGAGCGTCAGTCATTCGGACGGCACCACCGGAACGGTGACCATCAAAGGCACGTACATGTCGCAAAAGGTGTTGATCAAGCGGCCCGACCTGGAGGCGAACGTGCGTCCTCCTGATATCTATGCGCCACTGCTACGGGAAGTGAGTCTTCTTGCCCGGTACACCTTGGCGACGCCATGTAATGTGTCGACGGCGTTCCTCATGCATGCGCACTAGTGTTCAGTCGCCGTTTGTCATCAACATGTGGGGTGTCGCGTACTTTGCTTCGTGCCGGCCAGCCGTGGTCTTTGAACACTCGAGCGAAGACGACAATCTCTGGCAGCTCTTGCGCGATGCGTCGTTCAATCGCGTTCTCACGGACGCCGATCGCCGGCTCCTCTTGCTCGGCGCTGCGCAAGGGCTTGGCGACGTCCACGGCCGGGACTGGATCCATTGCGACCTACGACCGGAAAACTACTTGGTGGGCAGCCACGGACAGCTCCAACTCGGTCAGTTTGGTGCCGCCCGTCACATACACGATACAAGCACGCCGCTGCCCATTGTGTCGCCGGCCATGCTACCGTTCGCTGCGCCCGAAGTCCTTGGAGCGGGAACCTTCTCGAAAGCGTCGGACGTCTACGCGTTCGGCGCACTAATTGCCCAACTCTACGCCCGCGAGCGGCTGTACGCGAGCTCGACGCTGACGGCCGTTGCGATCCGAGAGCGCGTGCCCTTAGGCTTGGCGAAGATCGAGATGCCGGAGGCATGTCCGCCTGCGCTCAAGGCGCTCGCCAAGCGCTGCGTGTCGTTCACGCCGTCCGAGCGCCCGAGCATGGACGACGTCGTCGCGAGCTTGCGCGAGCTCGTCGTCGAGTGCACGGTCACGTCAGCGCCTGAGCTTCCAACGCACCACGCACCGACATGTGCCGGTACGCGCTTTGGTCTCTCGACTGCAAAGTCCTCAAGTGTGTGTTTTTGTAGCACCATCATTGCCTACTGTGAACGCCGCGCTCGAACTCGACCCAGACAACGCCCCGTTGGGCGCGGGTGGGCTTGGTGTCGTCAGCTTGTGTTACTACAAGGGCGTAAAGTGCGCGCTCAAGACACTCCGACTCGAGGATGGGAGAGGACCTTTCCCGACGTTTAGGAAGATCCGAATGGTGAACAAATTCAGGCGCGAAATGGAGCTACTGGCGAGGTAGACGACAACCATTGTTGAGTTGAAAAAGATGTGACGTGAGGGTGTCTTCGTAGGCTAACAAAAGAGAAGGCAGAGTACGTGCCGCGGTTCATTGCGAACCTCGATGCCGATTCCTCGGCCTACCTTATGGAGCTCGTACCCGGCAACGACCTCTCCAAGGAACTCTGGTACATCAAACAGCAAGCGACGTTTCCGTGGACGAACGCTGCAAGATGGCGCTCAAGATCATCCACGCGATCGCAAAGCTCCACAAGGCCGGCATCGAGCACTTGGACCTCAAGTCGTCCAACATCATGCTCACACCCGAGAATGAGATCCGGATCGTCGACTTTGGCGAGTCGGTGCGCACGGCCGACGCTACGGGCTACAACGAAGTCTACAACGTCGGGACATGGAAGTGGATGGCACCCGAGATCCTTGCCGGCCGTGCGGTCCACGCCAAGAAAGCCGACATTTACTCGTTTGGCATCATTCTCTCGGAGATCGCGATGCTTGTCGAGCCGTACCCTGATACATGTGTCACAGACATGTACAAGGTGGAGAATGGCATCAAAAGTGGCGTACGGCCGACAATGGACCCGTCGGTTCCCAAGTGGATGAGCCAACTCGCGGCGCAGTGCTGGCATCCGAACGCAGAAGAGCGACCAACCGCGACCAAGGTCGAAACCTCCCTCAAACTAGCTCTCACCGAATACGATCATCGACGTCCGTTGAGGGTCATTACATAGTGGGATTGTCCAACATCGATATGCCTCTGCTGTGCTATTCACCTCTTCATAAGCGGCTGACGTGTCATCCTTGGCCTTGTGCTCCGTCACAGTCCGACCACCATCGTACGTGATAGCAGAGGTTCGCACCTGGTTATACTCTCAAGTCCCGCGTTCCACTTCAAAGACATGGTCCCGTCTCGTTTCCGAGAGCGGGTATATGTACATCGTCGTCCATCAACCACAAAACGTCTTCTTGTTTCTGCGCCTTCAACGCTCGCTTACTGGAGAGGGTGCGTCAAACGTGTCGCAGACGCAGCCTCCAGCCAGCACACCCTCGACGGAGTACATGCGCGCTGTAATGACATGGTGGATGTCATGTTGCATACCGAATCTGACGTCCAATGAGTCGGACAATTGCAATAAAATACATCGCTGGCATTGATAGTATGGATTAGCGCGACACACTCGAGAGGTACTTTTGCGAGACGACGTTGCCAATGCGAAGCGCTATGATCCAGACGACGAGCGCGAGCGCATCGTAGACGCGGTTCTCGTACTTGATCGAGGTCCCAAACATGTCGGTGACAAAGTCTTTGACCGCGACGGGGTGCGGCGAGAGCACTTTGGACGGCGACCCGATGAGCACCGTGCTGTTGTTCAATAGAAACTGCGTGCCAAAGACGCCCTCGAGCACGTAATGCAGCGGCGAGATCCAGTAGAGGAAGCGCCACCCGGTCGGAATGCTGTCGTAATGGATGAAAAAGCCGCTGAAAATCGAAAAAATCGAGCTCAGCGCCCCCGAGAGGATCGTGGCCGTGCGCAAGTCCGGCAGCGTCACGACGAGCCACTGGCCGAGGTACGTAGCGTACAAGGTGTAGAGGAAGAAGAAGAGGAGGAACCACGGAAAGGCCTCGGCGTTGACCGTGTTGAGTCCGACTGCGTAGTAGAAAATGACGACGTGAATGACAGCATTGAGCATCACGAGCGGAATTTCGACGAGGCCAAACACGATCGAGTACGGGCTCGTCGCGTACATGCCCGAGGAGGTCTCTCGAAAGTAGACCATGCGCTCGGCGTCGACGACCGCCAGCCCTACATCGCCGTTCATGTATCAACGTATCAAGTGCGACATGTCGTCTACCCGTGTTGATAGAAATGATGCCCATGAACATGGGGTATATAAAGCAAATCCCGAGCTGCGACTGCACTTGGGTCGAGTACTGGAGCTCAGGCACCGAGCAGAGGATTCCGAGCAAGCACGCGACAAAGATGCCAACCACGAGGCGACCAATACTATAGTCCTTGGTGCGCCAATACTTACGCCCCGTGCGCAGCAGGAGGAGGCGGAATTGATGCGCGAACGCCGACGACGGGCGCTCGGTGGACTTGGTGATAAGCGCGTGCGAGGCCGGTGCATTGTGCGACGTGACCGTAGTGATGGCTTGGAGGTTGCGCGCTTGCATCTCCGACTTGGTGTAAATTTCGTGAAAGTCGATCGACGGATTGCCCGCGAGCGCGTCAAGCATGTACGTTGCGGGGTTCTCAGTCAAGCCGCACGCGCGGACGTTTGGAATCGACTCGAAGTGCCGAAGGAGCTCGGCGCTTTCGAGCCCAATCGGGCCGCAGTAGACAGTGCGCCCGCCCGCTTGCAGTAGAATGAGCTCGTCAAACAACTCGAAGAGCGACAAACTCGGCTGGTGGATCGTGCAAATCACCGTCCGGCCGGCCGCAGCAATGCGTTTGACGGCGACCATGACAACGTGGGCAGCGTGCACATCGAGCCCACTCGTCGGTTCGTCTCTATCCATGGTTTAAAAATAGGAAAAATGATAAGAAGTGAATCAAATGGCGTTCGTACAAGAAGAGCACCGACGGGTTCGCGACCAGTTCGACGCCGATGGTGAGTCGCTTCATTTGCTCGCTCGAGAGCTCCGAAAGCATCTTCTTGGACTCGGTCACGAGCTCTAAGAGATGGATCGTCGAGTCGACAATGTTGTTGGCGTTGCTCTGCGCGCTCTCGGGCAGCCGAAGGAGTGCGCTGAAATGAAAGGCTTCGTCGAGCGTCGTCTTCATGCAGTGAATGTCTGTCTGCTCGACGTAGCCAAACCGCTTTTGGTCGGCCTTGGTAAGCGGCTGGCCGTTCACGTACAGGTTGCCTTTGATAACCCCCGTGTTCTTTCGGCCCGCGAGCACATCCAAGAGCGTGCTTTTCCCAGCGCCGCTCGAGCCCATGAGTGCCGTGAGCGTATACGGCCGGCAGTGGCCATGGATGCCTTGGAGAAGCACGACTGTGTCCGAGACAGCGCTTTTGCCCTTGCCCTTCTTGTGGTGGATCTAAAGACAGAGGTTACGCAAAGGTTGCAATTCACGCAGATGAACCTGGACGGTGTAAAAGAGGTCTCGAAACGAGAGCGACGTGGGGGTAAACTCGACCGGGTGCTTGTTGACGACGTCTTTGACGGACGCGCGAAACGTGGCCTGGGATTTCTTGTTGAATTGATATTGCAGACGCGATTGGTGCTTGGTCGCACGCACAACACGCGGGCGCACATAGGTATACCCTGCTGTCGCGAGCAGCACCATGGCAGCATAGAACCCGATCAGGTAAATGACACCGTTGAGGCGGTAGCTTCGGTCGAGCGAGACACCGTAGAGCGTCAAGTAGTAGTCACCAAGGCGAAGCTTGAACGCTGGCTGGAGCGCCTCGTATGCGGGCTCGGACGACCCATACTCGTTGATGAGGAGCGCGCGGAAGGTCCAGGCGCCGGGATTGATCCAGTAGATCCACGAGAGGCCCTTGGGCATGACGTCGTACAGAATCGCAAACCCGGAAAAGACGATTTCGAGGAAAATGAGGCCGGACGCGCCCGAGACGCCGGCCGTCGGCGTTGGCGCCATGGACGCCACGCTCTTGAACACTTGACACATGCACACCGAGTTGAGAAAGACGACCACGTAGTAGAAACCGTACGCCGCGCCGGACCCGTCCGGATCCGCAAAGCCGCACATCCAGTACGACGTGATCGTAAACAGAAAAACCTGAATCATCGCGGCCGCGACTTCGATCACCGACTCGGAGAACGCGTACGCCAACGGCGGGTAAAAGCCAAAGTACGCTTGCTTGTGAAAGATGTTGCGCACTTCAATCGTGTAGGCGATGTTGGAGATCGTCGTGACGGACGTAAAGAGGATCGTTAGAAAGACGAGACCGACTTTGGCCGGCACGGTCGACGGCCCAAAGCCCACCTGCCAGAAAAGAGATCCGATGATGAGCCCAAACACCGTGTTTTGGCCGACGCGGACGCGGTTGAAGCGCTTGTCCCGGAGCACGAGCTTCCATTGGCGTGCGAACACCATTCCAAACGTGCGCCACGCTGGCGGACGCGCCTTGCCACAAATCGCGGTGGATGGCACCTCGGCGTTGGGGCCGTGGCGCGCACCGTAGTAAGCGGACGCCGCAAACGCAGCTTGGAACTCACTGGGCGTCGACGGCAGCGCGGCGAGCCGCGGCGAGCAGCCGTTCTCGATCGGCAGCGTGTAGCTCTGGCCGAGGTCGGTGGTGACCTCTTGGAGAAAGTCGGCTTCGTCGACGCGCGCGGGGGCGGCATACCCGATCGAGCGAAAGTAGTCGGCGACCGCCGTGCGTGGGCCCATATAGGCGACGTGGCCGGCGTTGAGGAGAATGATATTGTCAAAGAGCGCGTAGACCTCGGGGGGCGGCTGGAGCAGCGAACAGACAAATGTGTACTGCAGCGTCGAGCACATGTCGCGTAGCTTTTCGTCAAGTCGAGTGTGACGGTCGTGTCGAGGCCCGTCGAGTACTCGTCGAGGAGCACGAGGCTTTCTTTGCCCGTGAGCATCTCGGCGATCGTGACGCGGCGTTTCTGGCCACCGCTGATGCCGCGGATCATGTCGTTGCCGACAAGCGTGTGCGCACAGCCGCGCAGGCCGAGCCCGTCGATGATGGCGTTGGCCGTCCACACGCCGTCTTCACCGGCGGCCGCGCGGCACGTGTGGGCGAATTCGATTGTCTCTTGGACCGTCAGCGTCGGAATATGGTCGTCTTTCTGGCCCACAAAGGCTGCGAGGTGCTTCATCGGCAACGCGTTGGGGGGCTTGCCGTTGTACGTCACGTCGCCGTGCAGTCGGTGGCTTTTGGAGCGAGGACCTTTGTAATGGTACACACCCGCGATCGTTTTGAGCAGCGCTGTTTTGCCGCAACCGGGTGGACCCAAAATCTACAAGCCATGTTGCTTATCGCAGTCATTGGAGCGTGCGCGAACCAGTGTCATCGTGCCAGGCCGGAACGTGGCCGAGATGTCGTGCAATATATACTCGGGGTCTGTCTTGGTCAACGGCTTCTGCCACGTAAACCCATCGAGACGCACGGCAATCGGGGGCCCGGCTTGGTGCGTCTCGTGAAGTTTCTTGAGGAAGCCAGCAAAGGCGTCCGCGCTGACCATTTCCAAAACCGAACTCCAAGTCGGCGTGATTGGAGACCTAAAATAGAGTGCAACCGATAGCCGCTCGACACTGCGACATACTCCAATCCACGACGACGACCTCTGATTCATCCTCGAAGACGTCTCAATCATCATTTGCCTTGCTCGATTGCAGGAAAGCGCGCAGAATCTATGCTGTAGTAAAGGTAGTGTCGAGTGCTCGAATGACTTAAAGTGGGGCCAAAAGTGGCTCGAAACACGTGCTCGACCGAGCGCCAAAAGTACTCTGGGCCCGAGCGCTGCTACCAACACTACAAGTCCTGCTCAGATCTGGCGACGCTTTGTTGAATCAACAGGATAACGCAAGTGCAATGTGGGGTCGATCTCGTGCTTGGCCTGGCTACATTCGTGTCTAAAAATAGATTTGCTGGATACGTGACGGCGGCCTTATCCGGATGCTTGCGTCCGGACGGTGCTGGGGATTTCCATTTTCGTGTTTCTTTGGAAAGGGTTGTTACAAGATATTGGCGTCGGCGCGATGGACGACGACGGTGGTAGAGCAAGCGCGATCGCGACGGCGTCGCCCGCGTGCAGATGCGAGGTAGATCGACGCATGCGTGGCGTGGCCCATGACGCTTCTCGGCTTCGTAGGCGGCTGGTCCAAGGAGCCCCTCGTCGCCGAGCGCATCGACGCGTACCTCCTGCAATGGGACAAGACGACGCAGCCGCTGCCCGATGTGTTTGACACGACGACGCGCAAGCCCGAGAACGAGGCCGACATTGTCGTGCACTTTGCAGCGTGCATCAAGTACCACGACACGACATTGACGCGAACGCAGTTTATCAAGGAGTATGGCGAGCTGCCGCGCAGCCGCGACGGCGAGATCCTTCGCCTGCGCGAAGCTCTCGTCGAGCAGTACTGCATCGATATTGAAATGGACGCGAAGAAGTAGGCGATGAGGCCGTGCGAGCAAATGGTCGACGTTTCTGTCTAGGGCCGCCGTCTTGCGCAGCGACGACTCGTGGATGGACGAGGTTGACGCCATCGTGCCCACAGCCCATCGCGTGCCAAAGCCGTCACCAGCGGATCGGCTCAAGTACATTACGTCGTTATGGCCAACCAACATGCCCCACTTCAAGGACAGCGATGAGAGCCTCGACTATTTCGGGTTTGAAGTCGGTATTTACATTGAGCCCGAGACCGCGCCGACGCCGACGACAACCACCAAGGACGACGAAGAGACCAAGACAGCCGACGAGAGCGAGGTCGACGCCGCACCCGAGACTGTTCAGCAGTTGGCCATGGGCCACTCGTCCAAAGAAGAGAACTGGGTCCAATGTGACAAGTGTCAAAAGTGGCGCAAGCTGCCGGGTATGTCTCGCTCGCCGCCGCGGCTCGTGATGTGTTTACATGTAGACACGGTCGACGTTTCGGGGCTCCCTGCAATCTGGTATTGCCGCATGAACAAGTGGAGTCGTCGCTTCAACGTACGACGTCCAATGCTGCGAGGATGTCGTCAATGAGATGCAATTGCGATAGAAATGCTCGGCTGCCGAAGAGACCACGGTCGTGCCCCTCAAAGACACGGACCTCAAGTCGCTCAAGGAGCGCAAATTTGTGTACCAGTTTGCGCAGCGCCTCAAGCGTATGGAAAAAGCCATGCAGGACCTCAAGTATACCGACGCCAAGGACGACGACGGTAGCCGGCAGTTTGTGCAGTGCCAAGTGTGCCACAAGAAGCGCCCACTCCTCGCGGGCATGGACCCGCGAAAAGTCCCACAGGTAGCACGCCTCAAAGTCCCGTGCCGACTTGATGCTGCTGATGACGTGGACTCAAACAACGCTGTGTTGGTAGCCATTTCTGTGCTGGATGAACAGCTGGGACGAGCTGCACGCGAGCTGCTCGGCGCCGCAAGGCGAGCTCGTCGAACGATCGCCCGAGTCATCGCCGGCCCCCGAGCCCGCCGCGCCGAGGCCCAAAAAAGTCAAGGACAAGGACGCGCCCAAGAAGAGTGAGAAGGAGCCGACGAAGCGAGCCAACAAGGCGGCCAAGGCCAAGGCGGGGTCGCTCTCGGGCTCGTCGGCGTCGGTGCCACCGCCGTTGTACTCGTCGTCCGACGAAGACAACAATGTCAAGCCGACGACGACCAAATCGGCTGCGACATCCAAGCGCAAGGGCACGAAAGACGCGGCGAAACTCCGCAAAAGGGTGAAAAAGTAACATTTTGGTTACAAAATGTACTTGGTCAAGTCGGTCTTTTGCAAAATGTCCTTGAGGTGCTCTTGCACGTACGCCTTGTCGATGGTGACCGTCGAAGCCTTGAGCGACGGCGCGTGGAACGACACGTGCTCCGTGATCTTGGCGACGACCGTCGCGAGGCGCCGCGCGCCAATGTTGTCGGTTTGCACGTTGACCTGCGCCGAGATGGACGCGATTTCGTCGATCGCATCGTCGGTAAAGACGACGCTAACGTCTTCGGTCGCCATGAGCGCCCGCACTTGGTCGAGCAAGTTGTACTACAATCTCCCATAAGATGAAAGGTTCCTGGCGGGAGTAAATGATAGATGATGCTGTAGGTTCACCTGCGTCTCGGTAAGGATGCGCACAAAGTCCTTTTCTGTGAGCGGCGAGAGGTTGACGCGGATCGGAAGACGGCCCTGGAGCTCGGGCATCAAGTCGGACGGACTGCAATTGTGGAACGCGCCTAGAACACGATATGAGTGGCATGCGGATGCCAGCAAGACAGAAGGAGCCGACCGCTGGCAATGAAGAGGATGTGGTCCGTGTGCACAATGCCATGGCTAACGTCGTCAAGTTGGACGAGTGGGCGATGGAGATTCGTACCGTGTGTGCACGGCGCAGCCTTCGGTGAGCGCGAGGAGCTCCTTCTGAACGCCTTCGCCCTTGCGAAAGCTCCGGTTGTCGTTGTTCTGCGCAAGCTTGTCGACTTCGTCGAGGAAGACGATGCCGTTCGTCTGGACATTCTCGATCGCGCGTTGCACAATGTCGTCTTCGTTGAGGCCGCTCACGGCCTCTTCAGCTTCGAGCTTCGGGAGTGCTTCTTTGACCGTCATGGTTTGGCCTTGCTTCTTGGGCTGCCCGTCGCGCGCGCCGAGGACGCCGCTGAGCTGCTTCATCATCTGCTGGAGCTCAGGCGGTAGCTCCATCATCATGTCCTCGGGCGACCCGCGCCGGCGATGGGTCGACTCGATCGGCTTGAGCACAACCGTGATGAGGCGGTCATCGGCATCGCCCGACGCAATGTCAGCGCGGAGCTTGCGGCGCAGCGCGTCCGACGACGAGTGCGCAGGCGCAATGAGGTCCAGGACACGCTCGATCGCACGGGCACGCGCCGCGCTCGCGTTCGCCTTCTTGGCAGCCTCGCGCTCCATGTCGATGGCAATGTCCGTGAGGTCCTTGATCATTGAGTCAGCGTTCGAGCCGTAGACACCAACCTCGGTGAACTTGGTCGCTTCGACCTTGACGAACGGGGACTGCGTGAGCTTGGCCAAGCGGCGCGCAATCTCCGTCTTGCCCGAGCCCGTCGGGCCGCTCATGAGGATGTTCATGGGCGAAATCTCCGAGCGCATTGGCCCGTCGAGCTGGCGCCGGCGCCAGCGGTTGCGCAACGCGATCGCCACGGCCTTCTTGGCGTCAGTCTGCCCGATGATGTGCTGGTCCAGCTGGTACACAACTTGCTCCGGCGTTAGCTCCATGGACGCGTCAGGGTTGGACGCCTTCGGATCCACAAGCATGAACGAGCTAAAGGCCTTCGTTCCTTGGTGGGCATGGGTGCGCCCGAGGAAGCGGGTCCGCTGGATGAACATCGCGATGCTTCTGCCACAAATCACAACTGTCGATCCTGCAACAGGTTTCATTGGCTCCATCACCGCATGTATTTTGGCCAATCGGAGCAGGTATTGCCGCATCCATGGGATTGGGTAGAATGTTGACGATTTCAGCCAATCGTCATCGATCGAGTCCAGTTTCGCGGTCAACCAATTTGGAGGAAGCGGCAGCAGCAGCATGGCGACCGAGCAGAAGATCCTCCAAGTCTTCATGGTACGCCCATGCAGGAGCCTGGTCGATGGTCTCATCCTCGCCGGAACTTGGTAGGCGCATGGCTCCATCTCCGAGTCCGAGCTCAAGACGCTCTGCGATCAAATCTGCGGCCAAGGTACACACCACGTATGCCTGGCCGCGCTGACCCATGGGGGTAGACTTCTCGACGAAGCAGCTTGGCGATCTCACGAGCCACATTGCGACCTTGATTCGGCCATACTCGCTCGACATCAAGCGCGCGATGTACGACGACGGCGAGATGTACTACGGCATCATCAACACGGTATGGCCAGCGAGGTCCTTCGCTTGCCATGATCATCTGTCTGCATAGAGCAACGACGATCTGACCAAACTCAGCAACACATTCAAGCCTTGGTAAGCATGGCTTCGATGCACAATCATTAGGCAAACGTGCACTAATGTAGGGAAATTGTCCTCTTCCGCAAAGCCATCGAGGCCATCGTGGAAAGGTACACCTCCTTGCACCTGGTTTCTCTGGTCATGATGCATGGATACATAGCGAGGATGGCGAGCTCGATACGCGCGACTTTTGCAATTTGCGCGAAGGTAACAGCCTGCAAGAGGTCAAGACGCTCTTCCAGCGCCTCTACACGGAAAAGTGGTTTGCGCCGAGCTTGTTCAACAACGACCAAGCGACGCTCGGGCCACGCGTCTTCCTCGAGCTCGTCGTCTTTCTCCGCGAGCTCGGCATCCAGCAATGCGTGATCTGCTCGTCCGATGTGCTCCAGGTTTCCACAACAATCCTATCGGTCGTCTCCTACTGCTGCGTCCATAGAGCGTGCGCTGCCGGACGGCGTCGTGCTCAACCCGCGTCCACGAGTCTTGCTTGGCCAAGTACGAGCGCGCCGGTCGTGCGTTCAAGTGCGGTCCGTGCAAGAAGGCGATTCGATAAGCAATCGAGCATCCTCCATCACCTACGGAATCCAGCTGTGCACTTCTTGCGTGGACGCTTTAGCGTGCGGCTGCGTCTTGCGTCGACCTCAGCCACAGGCATCTTCTGATCGAGAGCTGCATGCTGCCTTGCAACTTGTGTTGACCTTCTATTCCCACAGATTCGTTCCTCCTGGAGCTCTGTCGCTGATGGTCATGGGTCCATCGTGGCACGAGGGCTGGGCATCCACGGAGTCGTTGGTGGTTTTGGCGGGAACGTACTTATGCGCAGGATATCCTAATATCTCATTTATTATATGTACACTACTAAGTTCGATTTGTGACTCATTAGGTACGAGGGGACCACCAAGCCATCACATGCATGAGAAAGCTGGGGCCCGCATTTACCCGGACCCTGCCATACTAATTGACAAAAAGATTTTAAATCGAATTATTTCCAAAATGACCAAGGGCAACGAGTCGCCGACGTCGGACGCCGAGGACGCGTCGACCTCGGCGCAGGAGCGCGTGATCGCCGAGGAGTACAAGATCTGGAAGAAGAACACGCCTTTCCTCTACGACCTTGTCATGACCCATGCGCTCGAGTGGCCATCGCTCTCGGTGCAGTGGCTGCCGTCGTCGCACACGAGCAGCGGCCAGGACTACTCGAGCCACAAGCTGCTGCTCGGGACGCACACGAGCGACGGCGCGCAGAACTACCTCATGGTGGCCGAGGTGCGCTTGCCGCTCGAGGACACGGAGATCGATGCGCGCAACTACGACGACGAGTCGGCGGAATTGGGTGGTTTCGGCGGCGTCTCGGGCAAGGTCGAGGTCCAAATCAAGATCAACCACGACGGCGAGGTCAACCGCGCGCGCTACATGCCATCGAACGAGCTTATTGTCGCGACCAAGACGGTCTCGTCCGAGGTGTATGTCTTTGATATCTCGAAGCACCCGTCGACACCGGCCGAGGGCACGGGCTGCAACCCCGACTACCGCCTCCTTGGCCATACCAAGGAGGGATATGGTCTGTGCTGGGACCCGCACCAAGCCCACCACTTGATCAGTGGCTCGGACGACGGCGTCGTGTGCGAGTGGGACCTCGCGAACGCCGGCAAGACGGTGCAGCCGCTCAACAAGTACACGGGCCACACGGACATCATTGAGGACGTGGCGTGGCACATGCACCACCAAAAGCTCTTTGGGTCGGTCGGCGACGACAAGAAGCTGCTCATGTACGAACGCCAACGATTTGATCGCAGGACGAGACGACATGACGCATCCTCCTCTCTTGTAGCTGGGACATGCGCCTCAAGAGCTACGACAAGCCGATGACGTCCATCAATGCGCACGACAGCGAGGTCAACTGCGTTTCGTTTAGCCCGTTTAGCGAATATTTACTGGCGACGGGGTCGTCGGACAAGACGGTCAACCTCTGGGACATGCGCAACCTCAGCTCCAAGCTGCACACGTTCTCAGGCCACAGCGACGGCGTCTTCCAAGTCGAGTGGTCGCCCCACAACGAAACGATCCTCGCGTCGTGCTCGCAGGACCGCCGCATGCACGTGTGGGACCTCAGCAAGATTGGCGAGGAGCAGAGCCCCGAAGACGCCGAGGACGGCCCGCCAGAGCTCCTGGTACCGAGAACCTTGCATGATTCCATGGATGTCGTCGGCTCATGATGCAACCTCGTCACCATCTAGTTTATCCACGGCGGGCACACGGCCAAGATTTCGGATTTTTCGTGGAACCCCAACGATCCGTGGGTCGTCGCGTCGGTCGCCGAAGACAACGTGCTGCAGATCTGGCAAATGGCCGAAAACATCTACAACGAAGAGGCTGACGACGAAGACGAAGCTGTCGCCGACGATGCGCTCGAGTAGTAATCCACAAAGGCATACAGTACGCTCCGTCATCCTCGTTACGAAAATCTACATGTACTCGGTTGCTTCCGGCTTGCCATAGTCGATGGCTCGCGATAGCGCAACGACACCCGTGTACACGGCAACGTCGTCAATCTCTGGTGCGAACTCCAGGCCGACCCACGTCAGCTTGACCGGCATGACCAGTACGAGGCGGTGCTTGTGGATCTGGAGCTTCGGGTTGCGCTTGACGGCAGCGTGCACGACAGCCAACTCGCCCCACGGTATCACATGGTTGGGCTCCACCGTCGTTTGGATGTAGCTGACCCAGCCGTCTTGCACAGAGATGCCGTGGACCGCAAAAAGTTGTCGCATCTCGGGTGCCAGTACGTCGCCGGTGGCAGGTCGTGTTGGAGGTATGCGAGGCAGGTGCATTGGTCGCATGACCCGTCACCACTGCGCAGCTGGCGTCGACGAGTAGTTGTTGTGGCTCATCCTGCGGAATCGACAGCTTGAGCACTTGTTCAAACGCGAGCTTCATCACGAGCGCAGCAAACTAACTGCGTCGCATAAGGCGACGTGTTCCGTGTCAACGCAGCCCACTCGACGCGCGACGCAAAGGTGTCGATCGATCCCGTCGACAAGACATGCCGCAGCACAAACGACGCATCGTTGATGTTCTGCGCGTACTTGAGAGAAACATACGGCTCGTACATCTCCGTGTCCTTGATGATAATGAGCGTTTGCCGAAACCAGTACAAAAGATCAAATTCGTTCACGAGGCTGTCCCGGAGCTGCGTGGGGTCCGAGAGAAAGCGGCCGACGCTGCCACCCGAGACAGCGTAGCGCTCTTCAAAAGACTCTGCGAGCGTAGAACTTGCTGCGGCCGTGGCCTTGAGCGCCGTTTGGGTCCATATGCCGGGAGAAGAACCACAACGAAGCGGGTATGCAAGTAGTACTTGGGGATGCTCGACATGGCAAGCAAGTCGCACCCGTGGAGCGGCCTAATTCAAAGCGCGTTAGTTCCCAGACAAAGAAGGACGGGCTACATATCAACAGCAACCAAATGTATTTTGCTGGCGGCGACGCACTCGCACTTGAACTTAACTTGGAACGGACAAATGCGCCGAGCTTTTCGTGCAAACTCGGGGTCCTTGGTGACGTGGCAGCCGCAGAATCGAACGACGAGCGTGTATCAGTCGGCGCTGAAAGCTCGAGTGTAGAGAATGCGATTGTCGTGGTAAGCTGCCAAGAGAATGAAGCCACTTTGTCATTCTCTTTTGTGCCAACAACGTCGTCTGCAGTTATGCGGAAAAGACAACTCTTCCAGAGCTCATGACACTTAAAGCACGAGTACGAAGTCGCTGGCAAAAGTGCTTCATTATCACCGACCCGTACATGCAGCAAGATGTCAGAGACACTACTTGCAGGCGTGCGACCTGCTGCCGTCTTCTGCCTAGTACCAGAACAGGGAAGGCGACAAGCGCATCCTCGTCGTCTGTCCAAGATGGCTCTCAAACGCTTTGCTCAGAGCGACCCAAAATACCTTGATAACTTTGCCGAGCGGTACGCCTCCTCTGGCGGCATCTTGCGCATTCTTTGCAGCAATCCAAAGATCGAATTCGACTTGTCGGAGCCCCCACTCAGAGCGCTTGAGCGCAGCCTCGATAGAGACATGCCAAGCTTCGTCGACGCCATCCGACGCACGTACGTCAAGAGCATCATACGCTACAAAGATGACCTGAACCTTCTCGATGGCGACACCTCGTCGACTCACCGCTTGCGTTGCAGTGGCTGTCTACTACGCAGTCGCGGAGCTTCGTCGTGTCGATGGTCAACTGGGCAAAAAAGCAACCAACCAGCAGACCCTCGTTTGCGAGATCTACGGAATTGTCGTCCACAAGCTCGCGGCCGACGTCTGGCGCCTTCGTGCCATGCTCCCGCCAAAAATGCGTACTTTGCGCATCCCATGCCACTGGAGGTCGTTGTGCCCTTCTGCTCCACGATCGAGAGCACTGGTCTCCCGCAGACAGACTGCTACTTGTAGCTCGAACACACGAGTCACCTCCATGTACCAGCGTCCTGGGGTCTCGTCGTCTCACGCCACCGACGATGCGCTGTGTCTTGTGCGACGTCAACGTAAGTTGCATCAAGCCAAATCGAGCCAAGACATATATCTACCATTCTATCGCTGTAGGATATTCCGATGCGGGGCACATTTTGGCGCGAAGATATTTTTCTCCCCTTTGTGCAATCTTATACCAATATCGAGTATAATGGCAAACGACCGGTATTAAAATACAATCAGTTGCCAATTGGCGTTCGACCTCACACATGGCCGAGTACCACGCAGTCTGCGCGGCCACTGACGTCCCGAACGGCGCTCGGAGGTGCATCGTGCTCCCGACCGGCCGGACCGTCCTCCTCGTCCACCATGCGCATGTGCTCTACTGCATCGACCAAGCATGCTACCACCATGGCGGGCCGCTCCTCACGGGCGACATTGAAGAGATTGGCGGCAAGGTCGCCATCTCGTGTCCATGGCACAACTACAAGATCGCGCTCGAGAACGGCGAAGGTCTCTACATGGGCCTCGATGCTGCCAACATGCGGGGCGACCCCGTCCTCAAAAGCAAAGGCGTCAAGCAGCGGACGCATCCCGTCGAGGTCCGGCCCGACGGGCTCATCTACGTCGCCGACGCCATGGAGCTTGCAACCAAGGCGATCGCGTCGGATGAGTATGCGTACAAGAAGCAGATCATCCCGACCGACGTCGACGAGACGGGCCTCGTCAAGCTCCACTCGCGCATGTCGTAGCGTGTAATAGACGCGACCCGTCCCTGTCGCAGCGTCTTGCCTCTCCTCTTCCTCCATGCTGCCGCATCGTCGACCTCGGCGCGGGAGTCAAGCGACCATGCATGGACCGTCGACCTCGACGGAGATGATGGTAAGCCGCTTCCTCGGCAACATGCTGCATGATGAAACGAACCCGGCTGAAACGATTTCCGAGTCGGATTTATTGTATATTGCGAAAAATGTATACCGTCGGTGAGTTCCCAGGGTGGATGAAAAAAATATTCCTGCTCTGTCACGTTGGACGTCGTCGGCGCCGTGGATGCCATCGACGAAGATGGAGAAGACGGGTCTGCGCATCTCGACGTCGACGAGCCTGCCGGTCGTCGAGGCCGAGACTCCGCGCGTGCTCACGTCGCCGACGCTGCCCAAGCAGTCGGCCCTCGTCACCACGTCTAGCGCCCATGGCCGCCTCACGATCCGCGGTATGCCAGGCCATACTTGCGTGCACTTATTGCGTGTGCCTAGTACTTGAAGGCTCCGACTTTGGCCTGCCGTCGTTCGAGGCGCCCTCCGAGCCGGCGGCCAACACGACGGGCATCATGAAGTCGATCCGCCGGGCGTCGCTGGGCATGAAGCGGCCGGTCGAGGCCCGCGTCGCGTCGACAGCCTGCGTGTGCATCGTGCTACAGATCGGCGTGGACCCTGTCCTCGAGTTTACGACAAGCAGCCTCCTGTCGGCGCAAGACACGTGGCATGAAGTACGCTGGCACCGTCATGGCCTTGCCTGACCCTTCTTCTTGCAGGACTTTGCCGTCGAGTCGGCGTCGTCCGACGACGTGCTTATGCTCTACGGCGTCAACCGACTCAAGAGCGCGCCACACAAGTCGATCGCGGTCGATGTATGGGACGACCATCCCGCGTGCTTTGGCAAAGGTACAACCTTATCACGACCAGCGACGCCTGAGCCTTCCTCTGTAGTGTGCATCCCGCTCTCCCGCCTTCCGGAGCACGAAGAGATCGAGCAGTGGTACTCGTTCTCTGGGTCACGGGCCGCGGTCCGCGTCGCGCTCAAGTTTTCGCCGGCGCTCTCGTCGCTGCCAGCGATGCACTCGCCCGCCAACGACCGTCAACGCGCCAAGAGCAGTGCTGCCGAGCCAGAAGAGAGCCCGCCTATTATCGAGTCGCCCCAGCCGACCCAAGAGCACGTGCTGCCCACGGGCATCGTCGACTACGTGCTGTTTGTCGGGCCGGATGCCAACGACGAACACGTCGTGCTCTCGCGGTACCCGAAAGACGACCGCAAGGACTTTCCGCTGCCGACGAAGATCGAGTGGTTTTGCTTCCCCGGCGGCTACGAGGTGGTTGGTCGACGACGAAGCCACCGGCCACCGTCTTCTCGTTTGCGCTCATTGGCGGCCAAGACGGTCTCTCGCGCTGCTACGGCGTGTGCGTCATCGTGCACCACATCAAGATGGGCGTGCCAACGACGTCAAGCGGTGCGCGGCAGTGGGAGCCGACGTGCATTTGCTTTTTGAGCCGCCTTCCGCTCCTTCCGTCGCTGCAAACGTCGCTCCTCCAGCTCGTGAGTGTCTACTTAAACCCGGACCCGACGATCGCTCGCCTCGGCGGCCACGTGGTGGACCAGCTCACACGGCGCCTTCCGTTGCCTGTCGCCGAGCTCTTGGACGTGGCCGTTGCGATCGTGCCGGGGGCACCCGTGGCGTTCTCGCTCCGACACACCGACATGCACGGCCTCAAGTACGCGCTGCCTCCCGCGCTCTACTCGCTCGAGACGTTCTTTCGCGCGTTTTCTCTCCACACAGCGATCCGGCTCGTCGTCCTCGCGCTCTGCGAGTACCGTATCGTTGTGCATTCGAGTCATTTGTCGCTCCTCTGCCCCATCACCGAAAGCCTCAAAGCGCTCTTGTACCCGTTTCGGTGGCAACATCCGTACGTCCCGATGCTGCCGCGCATCCTCTCCGAGTACCTCCAGGCGCCGCTGCCCTATATTCTCGGCGTCCAGACGTCGTGGCTTCCGGGGCTCTTCGAGTCGGGGCGGCCCGACAACCTCGTACTCGTCGACGTCGACCGCGGCACACTCACCATCAGCCACGAAGCGAGTTTGCCGCCGCTGCCAGCGACGCTCACAAAGGCCTTGTACCGCCGCCTCAAGCCCATGATGGCGGCGCCGCTGTGGAATGCGAGCCTCGAGCACCGTGTGCGCCTCAGCTTTGCGTGCTACCTTACCTCGATGATCCAAGGGTCTCTTGTGCTACATTGCGTTGTGGTGATTGCTGAGGATACGTATGCGCGTAGGTACCGGGACTGTCTCTTTTTGTCGACTCGAGCTTTCCAGTGTTCAACAAGCGACGATTTTCGACGACGACGGTATCGCCCGAGCGCACACCGTTTGTGACGCGCCTTTTGAGCACGCAGGTCCGTCTTGGCATGTGTGCGATCACGTCCATGACGCGGCGGCGTAGGCGTTCGAGTCCTTTTTAGAAAACCACAGTGCAGCCGGCTCCACGCGTTCCACGCTATTTATTTGACGCTGAGCCAAACGGACGAAATCACGTGGCTCGACGAACCCGCGTCGACACCGACGCCGGTGCACGAGACACCGCTGCTCCACGTGTCGCTGTATCCGGCGCGCGACAACGAGACGTGGACAACACGCGACGTCACCAGCAGCATCCAAGCCTCCGACTTGAGCATTCTCGAGCAGCTCAAGCTCAAGCCCGCGCTGGGCACGCCACGGAGCAGTTCGGGCGTCTGGACGTACGAAAAGATTGCCGACACGCTCGACATCGACCGGTCGCTTTTTGAGGCCAACTGGGAAAAGATCATGGACCCGTTCTCGCATTGTGCGCCACCGTCGCACGCACCGACGCCGACGCGCGAGCTCTCGTCCGAAGAGGAGCAGGTCCAGGAGAGTATCCACAAGTGCCTCGTGTCCGTCTTCTCGTCCGAATTGCTCTCGGACGACGAGTGCCGGACGTGCCAGCGGTCGTTCAAAGCGCCGTACGCGCGTGAGCTCTTTGTACTTATTTTGATGCAGCCGCACCACCGGTCCGAGCAAGCGTCCGGTGTGTACAACCCGCGCGGGTCGGGTAGCTGCCTCGGCGACGCAGGGTTCAAGCTCCTCGTGACGCTGGCCACCCAAGTCCTCCAAGATTGCGAGATCCACGAAGATTACACCAACGCCAGGGGTCTCCTTCAAGTCTCGGCGCAGTTTTATCGGCTCGTCGACGATGGTGTGAGGTCGACACCCCGCGCACCAGGCTTTGGCGGTACGTTCTCGTCGGTGCGTGGGTTTTGTGTCATCTGAAATGGACAGCACCGCGCGAGTACCTCCAAAAATCCCTCAAAACGCAACCGATTTGTCGGTCCTTGGACATGTGGCACCACGCCTTGAGGTATTCCTGGTCTCGTGTCTTTCTGCTAGTATGCAATGTGGTCTAGTCGCGACATTGAGGCCGCGCTCAAGTCGGAGACCATCGAGCCCCACAACGACGCACCAAACGACATTTCGGACGACATGTTCTTCTCGCAAATGGGATCGCTTGTTTACGACATGCTCAACTTGGACAATGCGCTCGGAAAAGTGCAGCTCTTCGTCGCGGGCATGTGCTCGACGTACAACCGCGGCAAAGAAGTGCAAGACACGTTGTCGCAGCTGGTCGAGAACCTCCACCGCGCGATCGTGCTCTCGAGTGACAACGTCGTGTCATCGACGGCCCATGCGTCGTGGGCACTCGCGCCGTCCTCGACGGACGCCAACTACGAGCTCGACAGCGTCATTCGTCGGCGTATTTCCACCACAACGCTCGCGTCGTCGTCCAAGTCGTCGCAGCCGCTCGAGTCGAACGACGAGAACGAGAATGACCCGAACGCGATTTTGCTCCAGACGCAGAGTCCTGTGCTCTGCCTCAGTGTGCACCGGGATCGCATCGCGGCCGGCTGCTTGGATGCAACGATCGCCGTGCACTCGGCCGCCACGACGACGCGTTTGCAA